GTGTTTTCTATCTCGATAATGAGGCAGCGAAAGGCGCCTTAATCAAGGGAGCTACTGATGCAGGTTCAGGTGCCAGATTGGTTCATGCCTTTGTTGTGTCGGAAATGAATCTGCAACTCAAGGTTTGGTTCTCCAGAGTTCCGACTAGCAGCAATATAGCTGATGCTCCGAGCAGAATGTCCTTTGATGAACTTTCAAATGTGCGCAGGCAAAGAATAGACTGGGAGTGGCTCTTTAAACGGTTGGAGGCAGATGGATCAGAGACTTGGGGTTTCGAAGAACGGGATCCTGGATCTACCCCAACTGCTTTGTGAAAAAGAGATGGCTGCTTGTGTCATTCTTGCACTGCGACATGTTCACATTCGTTTTGCGGCATTAGTTTTTCATTTTCGAGTTTGGCGAATACGGAGCGGAATGCGAAATTTTAATTTACTGCAAGAAGTGAGAGAAAGGTTTTTCTTCAAGGGAAGAAAGAATGATCTATCACGCCCTTTTTTCGTTTGGGAAATTTCCAACCCAAGATTTTGGGTTCGAAGAGAAACTGCCGGTTTCCTTAAAACAAATAAAACTAGCAGGGTTGAGGAGCTTTGCACCGATTTGGCTGGTGTGTTGGAATCGGGGGCGCTTAGCAGCAAGTATGCACATCGCCTTCAAGGACGTATGCAATTTGCAGACGCCCAATTGAAGGGCAGAACAGGTAAAAGGTGCCTAAGGGCACTTGGTGACTTTGCAGAAGGGAGGCGTTTCAAGCTACTTCCTAAAGACTGTCTTTTCCTGAGTTTGTTTGCAACTCTGTTGAAGCAGAGCGTGCCCCGGGAAATCAAAGCTTGGATTTGCACAACATTGTTGTCTTCACGGACGCTTGCTATGAGAGGGACTGCAACGCTTGGCCCTGCGGTCTTGGTGGGGCATGTTTTTTCCAACAGGAAACCCAGTTCTTTTCCTTGAAAGCCAGTGCGACGGTGAGAGAGGCGCTTGGAGAACTTCACAAAAAGCAGATCATCTTCGAAGCTGAGACGCTTGCAGCTGTAATAGCATATCAGCTTTGGGCCCCTCGCTTTTCAAACAGGAGATGCCTTTTGTTTGTTGACAACGAAGGTACAAAATTTTCATTGCTACGTGGAGTTTCTGAAAACAGCGTTATGGATTTCCTTGCAGAGAAGTTCGTGGAACTTGAAGCAGTGACACATACTTTCACATGGCTTGCAAGAGTGCCCTCTGGTTGCAATGTTGCGGATGCTCCCTCAAGGGGCGATGTCAGTGCTGCTTTGTTAAACAACGCATTGGATGTCTCTGCAGATGCCGAGAGGTTACTTCTTGATTTGGTGTCGCAGCTTTCTGAAATGGGGAAGATCGGCTGCGCACCAAACCCAACTGGAAAAAGGAAGCGAGTGAGTGCAGCTTCTTGATTATGAACGTGTTTTGTCGGAAAAAAAATGTCATGTATGACAATTCATTCTGAAGTCAAATGCAGCTCGCCTGTGCTGCAAACGTTCCGCTCAAGCGGTGGGAGGGGACCCTCCTTCCACCCCTTCACCACCAAGGAGTTCTGTCGGCAGCCTAGCCCTACAGCCTAAAGATCGGCTGCGCACCAAACCCAACTGCAAAAAGGAAGCGAGTGAGTGCAGCTTCTTGATAATGAACGTGTTTTGTCGAAAAAACAACCATTTTTTTCCCTCAGCCCCCGGCACCCTAGACGTTCCCTTTTTTAAAAAACATAGCTTCCAAATCCAGCGTTTTGACGGTCGGGTATTGAAATCGTTTTTTTCTCGACCCTTGACGCCGTAGATTGTCAGATTGGCATAGCGTTTTTTGCATTTTTTACAGGTTGTGCAGAGGCAATTTTTCAAATAGAAAATATTCATGATTTTTTCCCGAGAGCGTCTGAGCGCAGGGTTCTTCCAATAGTGGGGGTCTGTCTCTCATCTTCTCATCTTCTCATCTTCTCATCTTCACAGCTTCTCACTTCACATCTTCTCATCTTCACATCTTCTCATCTTCGCAGCTTCTCACTTCACATCTTCTCATCTTCACATCTTCTCATCTTCACAGCTTCTCATCTTCACATCTTCTCATCTTCACATCTTCTCATCTTCACATCTTCTCATCTTCACATCTTCTCATCTTCACATCTGCTCATCTTCACATCTGCTCATCTTCACATCTTCTCATCTTCACATCTTCTCATCTTCACATCTTCTCATCTTCACATCTTCTCATCCTCCCTCACATCTTCTCATCTTCACAGATATCTGCTCATCTTCACATCTGCTCATCTTCACATCTGCTCATCTTCACATCTTCACATCTTCACATCTGCCCATCTTCACATCTTCTCATCCTCACATCTTCACATCCTCACATCTTCACATCTTCTCCTCTTGGCCTCTTGGCCTCTTGCCCTCTTGCCCTCTTCTTCATATCTTCTCATCCTCACATCTTCTCATCCTCACATCTTCACATCTTCATCACATCTTCACATCCTCACATCTTCACATCTTCTCCTCTTGCCCTCTTGCCCTCTTGCCCCTCTTGCCCTCTCCTTCTTTTCTATTTCTCTTCTGAAGGCGGGGGCAGGGGCAGTGCCAACGAGACGGCACGAAACGCAACCCTTTTGCACGAAACGAGGTTCGATCGCCAAAAACTGAGGTAAAATTGCGATTTCAAGGTGTCCGCCGCAACCCTTTTGCACGAAACGAGGTTCGATCGTCAAAAACTGAGGTAAAATTGCGAGTTCAAGTCGTCCCGCGCAACCCTTTCGCACGAAACGAGGTTCGATCGTCAAAAACTGAGGTAAAAGTGCGAGTTCAAGTCGTCCCGCGCAACCCTTTTGCACGAAACGAGGTTCGATCGTCAAAAACTGAGGTAGAATTGCGATTTCCGGGTTCCCGTTGCAACCCTTTCGCACGAAATGAGGGTCGATCGCCAAAAACTGAGGTAAAATTGCGATTTTTTCTGTGTGTACAAAGCTTCTGTGTGTTGTGCGTCAAAGCTTCTGTGTGTAAAAACATCTGTGTAAAAGCGTCTGTGTAAAAGCGTCTGCTTAAAAGCTTCTGTGTGCTCTGTGTAAAAGTGTCTGTGTGTAAAAGCGTCTGTGTGTAAAAATTTCTGTCTGTAAAGGTGTCTGTGTGTAAAAGCTTCTGTGTGCAAAAGCTTCTGTGTGTAAAATCTTCTGTGTGTAAAAACCTCTGTGTGTAAAAGCGTCTGTGTCTAAAGCCGTCTGAGTGTAAAAGTCTGTTGTGTAAAAGTGTCTTTGTGTCAAAGCGTTTGTGTGTAAAAGTGTCTGCGTGTAAAAGCGTGTGTGTGTAAAAGTGTCTGCGTGTAAAAGTCGTCTGTGCGTGAAAGTGTTTGTATGTAAAAACTTCTGTGCGTGAAAACTTTTGTGTGTAAAAACGTCTGTGTGTAAAAACTTCTGTGTGTAAAAGTGTTTGCGATGCAAGCTATTGTCTAGTACTTGTGCTATATTGTCTTGATACTCCTCTTCTCGACTGCCTATAACACATCTTTAATATATTGTTTTGTAATATGGTGTCTCCATACTAACAAGAGAAGACCCTGCTCCTCTACGCTCTCGGGCCATCCGTCGTCCAGTTCCCTCAAGACAACAACACGCGGCTTAGTATTTTGGAATATCTTCTATTTGAAATGGGGGTTGTTGATGGATTTGAAAATTTTGCCAGATCAGCTCTTGTGAAATTTTGGGATCCCAAAACAACTATATACCTTTTTCGAGGTTTTTGGCCGTTTTTCTTCAAATCAATCCAAAACCTAAAGTTGCAACAATGTCCTCCCGAAGACCTCAAGGTCCTCTTACTTGGATTGTCCAGTTTGACTGTAAAACCTTCGCAAATACCACAGAATTTGACAATTCCAGTCCAGATTACATTTGACAGATTTTACAGGTAAATTTGCAGTCCAAGAGCAACCTGGTGCGATTGCGCCAACTTCTATTTGAAATGGTTCCGGGCGACCCCTAAATCGGCAACTTGTATTTGAAAAAATCGTTGAATGTCTTCTATCTTAGTGTCTTGAAGTATATATAAATACTTGCAGGAAACTTGGCCATTAATCCATTGGTTGCAACCACCAACCAGCCACTGTGAAAATGTCTTGAAGTGTTGCAGGTTCCCTCAGGCCCCAGCATAGCACTTCGCAGAAAATGAAACAACCCAGCAGCTGATGGGCAGCGATGCGGAGGCGGTGGTGCAGTGTTTGAGCCAATGACTCCTCAAACAGAAAATGTGTGGTGACACTGATGCGATGCATCTTCTTAGGCATCTTCCTGGCCGCCCGGCTCAATGTCTTGAAACTCCAACAGTTTTGTAGCAGACCACTGTGCGATACCCATAGCTGGTACATCATCGCAACCTTTTCCTGCCTAGTTTTACCTGCTGGCTTCAATGTTATCTCATATACACCAACTGAATCAGCCAAATGAGCGCGTGGACATGATCCATGACAGAGTCTTCAATAGGATGCAGCATTCAGACTGCACAGTGAGCACAGCGCCTGGGTTGCACTGGCTACAGTGATGATGGCATCCTTCACCCACAAAAAACTTCACAATATGCCGCGTGACGCCATGATGCAGTTGCTCTTGGCGGCGTTTTTCTTCGTCTTTGCCTTTGCTGAGCTGCGCGTCTGGAACAAGAGCACGTTCACTGGACTCGAGAGCCCCTCGGCTGCTGCAAACTACCCAGATGCCCGTCTTGGTCGGTCTGTTTCTTTGGAAGAAAGGATTCTTCCTTTTTCTAGATTGCAAAACACGTCGAAACATAACTAGAGTTGATGTGTTACGTCGTATTTCACAAACGCCGTCCTGATGTCTAATTTGTGGCCACGGCCAATCTTTGGCAGAGCAGTTTCGAAATCATTTAGCGAAGTGGCACACAACTCCAACGCCCCATGTTTTTGTGAGATGAAAAGACATGGTGCCGCATGAGGCCAAAAACTATTGTCAATTTCTTTGGACTTTTATAAAGTCGCATTACCACTGAAAGGCAGCAACCCTGCGCACCAACCAGCAGATCGAGCGAGCACCAGACATCTGCAGGTGGGCCTTGAGGTTCACAGAAAATCGATGTTTCGTCGTGTTCATTGTTTTCATATTCATACATCAATTAGATCAGATGTTTCTACACCGCAATGATATGCCAGGTTTTTTTAGTGATGTTAGAGTATGTTGGAGTATCTTCCCAGCTCAAGTCAGAAAGACACTGCTTGCAGGACTGTGAAGTTATTGGCTGGGCGGAGCTTTGTGAAAGGAAAAAGCTGACGGCCGGGTCGTGCTTTCAGCTCGAGCGGCTCAGTCACAGGGGGTCGGAGGACTGTGATGCTTGCGTGTTTGTTGCAGGCAGGCGGCTAAATAAGTCGTTGTTGGGCAAAGGTTGATACGACGTGTATGTTGTATATTGAATTAACTACTGAACATCGGATCGGATGGTTCTGTCTCTCACAGTTCCTGTTGAAGACATGCTTGAAGCTATCCCTCATTTCCAGGATTTGTAGAGGTGCCTGTTGCGCTGCTTTCCAAAATATTTCCGAAGCTTTCAGCATTTTTCAGGGCAACTGACCTTTTCCAAAAGATCTCTCAGGCTTAGCAGAAACTTTGGAGCCAAAACCGAGGCCTACCGTGGCAGCTCCTCCATGCGAGCTGCAGGGGCCCCATGGGGCACCCGCGCAGCTGCGCCCAGCAGCAGGGAAAATTTTGACCTTGACCTCCGGAGAGCTGCACATCACCGGGTGCCTTGGAGGAATTCTGTTTGGATACGTTTAATGGTGAGGTGGGAGATTGGGAGGCATTATTCCAGTTGCTTTGGGCCTGCATGGCTGTCGTTGGCTGTCTAGAAGTGCTTGGCACAGCTCCCAAGGCAAATTCAGATGACTTCGCTCCGCCTGCAAGCCAAGAACCTTGCGCTGTACACAGCGAGTTCAAAACTATTTGTGATTGTTAGAAAGACACACGGACAACTGCAAGGGAGTTCGGATTTCTTGTTTTGGCAGCGTTGAGAGCGCCATGTGAGACCACGAATCTCTGCACGAAGTATTCAACTGAGGACTGTGAACTTTGCAGATGCTCACGTGGAATCGTGGCATGAAGGTCCATCCGATCCGAACTCAAACGCGCATGGTGGTGCCTTTTTAAGCAACGGGTCAATCACTTTGACCAGATCCCGTCTGACAGCTCCTTGGACTTGGTTTTTAATCTGGTGTTTGATCTCTTGCGTCAGAAAGGAATTATTGAAACTGCATGGTCTAGGATATTGGATAACTTGAGAGTACTGTAAGGTGGCATTCACGGAGTGAATTAACTGTCAAAACGGAAATGGAAAAACAAACGAGGTTTGTGAGCATGCACCTGTTCATCTTGATTTCCTCTGCAGTTATCTTCAAGGGCGGGCATGGTGGGATCGCCTTTTTCCACGGGCTTGCAAACGGTAGGGGGGCGCATGCCATGGTTGAGAAGGACATTGACGAGGACTTGACTAAACCTGAGATTGTTGCTAGTTCTGGGTACTCTGCAAGTGATGCTGACCACATTTTAAACGAGACACATGAGCATGGCAGTTTTGATGACAGTCAACAAGTGGAGCCTCAGCTGGATTCAGTTGGTGATGAGATGGTGCCGTTTCGTGCCATTGATCTGATTGGAGCTGCGGACAGCTATGCACCATTTAGGCCTCCACCTCAGTATGATCAGCATCTGCCTTGTGATGTACCTGAAACGGAGCAACACTTGTTTGGACCCCCTGGACCTGTTTCTGAAGTCAATCATGGGTCTGATGTTCACGAGTCTGTGGAAATTGGCAGTGCAGATTCAGTTGTGCTTGTTGAGAATTACGCTGACGAGCTGTCAGAGCCTTTGGAAGATCAGCCTATGTCCGGACCTGTGGTGCCAACTCAGGCTTGGAATGAAATGGTTGCACATGGTTTTGCACAGTTTAGGCAAATACCTGAGTCACTCTTGTTTCCTTGGGAGCAGGGACCGATGGCTGCTGTTTTCAACTTCGATGCTGACCCCTTGCCACAATGTTTGGGGATTGCTGAAACAGAGCGAACAGTTGGTGCCGACACCTCAGATCCTTTGCAGAACCATTTGAAGGGTTTCCTACTGCCTGATGATGCAAAGTACGTGCATGCTGTCAAAAGCATACAGGATATGAATTACTTTGACAACAAGTCTCAGCAGTTGGAGTTAGCATGCAGTCAATGGTTGCGCATCCTTTCAGTACAGTGGAGTGCATCGGGTGTTGGGCCTCAGCTTGCGGCGGCCTTACAGAAAGATAGTGCAGGTCAGGAGGCGTGCACTATTTTGAAAGCATGTTTTGGTATTCAGAAAGTTTTACAACTGGTTTGAAAAGTCATCTGCATGCAAAGAGTTGAACAGTTTTCCTTTGCCACTGGAAGAGCCGGTTGTTTGGGAATATTTCCTGTCATTGCGGCAGCTGAGAAGTGCACAATCCAAAGGATATACAGTGCCATCCAGTTTCCTAGAAGCAGTGCGTTTTGCCAAGTTCACTTTGGATTTGCAAGGCACTGACAGTATTTTGGGCTCACGAAGATTGCTAGGCCTCTCGGCCTTGGAACGCAAGGCAAAGGGCCCTACAGTTCAGGCTCCTGGGCTCCAGCCTGAGCATATTAGGCGTTTGCATGAGGTGTTGCACACTTCTTCAAACTTGATTGACAAACTGGGAGCTGGTTGCTTTTTGGTGTGCTTGTATGGACGTGCAAGATGGAGTGACATGCGATTTGTGAGCCATGTGCAGCTGGAAGATGGAGAGTTTGTCACCTTTTACACCACTGAACACAAGACTGCTTCAGTGGGCTTGCGGAGGGAACAGTATCTACCCATAGTTATTCCATGGAGTGGCATTTGCAATGATGACTGGGTGCGTGAGTGGCTTAAGGTATACCACCAAGTTGGCTTGGACATTTACAAGCGACCGCTGGGGCCATTGCTACCAGCACCCAGGATTGATGGGTCTTTCTGCGCAAGGCCTCTGACCACGCCAGAGGCAGCTACGTGGTTGAGAGCCCTGCTTCAGGGGACCAGTGAAAGTGAGACTTTCAGAAGTCATTCACTCAAAGCTACACTCCTCATTTGGCGTGCCAGGGCTGGATTTGATAGAGAGACCAGAGCAGTACTTGGGCATCATTGTAGCGCTGTGAGTGGCTCTGAAGTAGTTTATAGCAGACAGCTGCAGACACGTGCTTTGAGGAAGCTTGCATTGGTGCTTCGACGGGTGCGGGCAGGTCTGAACATCGAAGATGAGGCCATGAAAGAGTATGGCATCATCAGCACGCCGGCGCCATTTACCCTGGTGGCTGCAGCCAGGACACCCATGGCACCTGTGCCTGTTGCTCTGCCCCAGTCAGTGGGGCCTCAGCAAGAGACTGTCGACAAGGAGGCAGTGGACAATGCCGTTTCAAGCGCTCTTCAGTTGGAGGAGCTTCAGAGTGTCAAAGAGGAGGACTTGGACCAGTCGACATTGGAGCAGGCTGCGGCTCTCAGCCTGCAGCCATGGCCATGTACCCTGACAAGTTGCAGGAGGTCTTTGCCAATGTAACCTCGGGGCAGCTGGATCCCAATGGCATCTACACCTTCAAAGTGACCTACAAGGGCCGTGTGGGTTACGTCGTGGTGGATGACATTGTCCCAGGAATTCCTGGCAGTCCACTGGGAGCGTATCCTGCCCATGGCACCATCTGGATCAGCCTTCTAGAGAAGATGACAGCCAAGCTCTCGGACACAAACTATGAGATGATGAAGGGCCATGGCAACCGCTATGATGCGGGCCTGGAGATCAGAACGGGGATGGACATGGTCTGTTTGATGTATGGGGGTCATACCTTATCAGTGAGTACCCCTGAGTCCAATGATGTGAAATTCGTGGACTTCATTGAGTTCCTCATCCAGGAACCCCTGACGGTCATCACCTGTTGTCCCAAGAACCCCAAGAGGGGTGATGGCCTCATTGCGCATCATGCCTATGGAGTTGTTGGCATGTGCACTGTGGATGATATCCAGCTGGTGAAGCTGCAAAACCCTTGGGGCCATGCGGAATGGACAGGTGACTGGTCCGACAAATCCACAAAGTGGGAGGAACATCCACAAGTGGCTGAGATGCTGATGTTCAACCCTGAAGATCAAGGCAGCTTCTATATTTCCCGCCAAGATTTCGTGGAAAATTTCACCAGCTTCCTATACAATCGCATCACCCCTCTGCGAGCTGCAGATGATGATGGCACTGAGGATTGGGATTCCATGCTTGGCGAGTATTCAAATGGCACAGACAAGTCTGTACTGATGAAAAGGGACGGAATTCCCTTTTTGGAGTCTGATGCCTACGGACCAATTCATTACTGTCGCTCCAAGTACAAGTTGGAGCTGAACATGAAGAAACCCTGTGGTCCGGGCACGGCACATCTCTACAAGAAGAGCGATGGCAGTCCTTTGGGCTACTCAGCTGGACTAGGCGATTTCAATTGGTATGTGGGCCCAGCTCAGTCTGCCCCAGAGGAGGGGATCTATGAGAAGAAGTACCGCTTGAACAAGGTTGGAGGCTTGTTCATCAACATGCGCGAGTGGGAGACGAGCGAGAAAGCTTTGCACTGGCGTGGGGTCTGGACAAGTGATGAGGGCGAGTCCATGTCCTTCAAAGGTGATTCCATGTCTTCTCTTCAAGTGGAGTATGCTGGAAAGAGCTATAGCCTCCAGGCTGTCATGTGCGATGGCTTTGCCATGTTTGTGCCTCACGACTACATGGTCTATGTGAACGTGAACAAGGTGCAGCGTTTCAGGAGGGAGATCCAGCTACGGGTGGAGGATGGTGAAGACAAGATCTTCAAATTTGATGTGGATGCCAGTGGTGTAGATAGTAAATATTGGACGGAAGAAGAGGAGAAATTGGAAAGCTGATCTGCCTGAGCCGACTGCACTAAGCTACCTGCAATGAATCAGTTTCAAACCGCTGGGCAGCTGCAAAGCAGCTAGTTTCACTCGGCGAGAATTTGACTGCTCCGAAGAGGCCTCTGTGACTAGCTTTCCTTGCACCCCATCGACAAAGTACTGGGAAAAAGGCCGCTGCCATTGCTTCACTGGTCCAAATCGCATGTGGAGTCTCCTGAGACAGGACATGGGGGAGGTTTCAAGGCGACATTGTTTGTCAATCGTGGAGCCTGTGATTGTTGATTTTGTCAAGATTCTACCAGGCTTCGCATTTTCACATTTCAAGCTTGGAGAACGTGGGAGACCTTTTGGTTGCAACGAGCAGTTCCCCCAACACTTTTTTTGAACACATGCAGGTGAAGAAAGCCAGCTGACAGCGGTTGAGCTGGGAATCGGTAGACCCAAAAGGATTCCACATGCACTCAGGATGTGTGTCTAGTGTACGCAAGTTGCTGCAATATTGCCGCAAGGATTTCCAACATCACATATTAATGCATATTAAATTAATGATATTAATGCAACATGCAGCATGCATATTCTGTTCCTGACAATCTTTAATCTTTGGAGATTTGTGTACTCTTGGCCAAGGATTCTGAGCGATTCTTACATTCAGTGCCAATCCGTTTATCCAGGTCCGCTGCCATTTTTGGATATCGTTGGTGGCAGCCAAAGGATGTGGCAAGGAACAGAAGCACTTGATCACGAATCTCAGGGTTTGCTAGTTAAACAAAACAAACACATGGAGAAAATGGCTCGCAACCAAAACATATGTTCAATGTAGAAGGTAGATGTAGACCTATTGAGCACATTTTGTATATCTTTGCCTCGGGGCTGATCTTGCGGCAATGTCTACCATTGCATCTCAGCTGCAGGAAAGCAATTTGTCAACATTTTGGGGTGTTTTTTGTTTTCATACGGGCTTTCACATCTTTGAAGAGGTGTGAACTGGCTCCTGGTTTTCATTCCCAAGCATTGCAATTTCATTCCCACTGTGATATTCTATGAAGAGGCTTCATGTCCAACATTGAAAGAGTTGCAGAGCTGCACTGTCAGCACCTTCATATTAAGAGAGGTAAACTGTTGAAAACTCTTTGCATTCAATATCCATTTGTTCTTCATCGGCCGCCAATCCAATTAAACACGCTTGAATCTACCTTTTTCGGGGTCGCGATGATCATGACTTCTTGGTACCCCCAAAGAAGAGAAGTGATTTACCGCAAAATTAAAGGATTGGGCTCTATTTTCCTTTTTCCGGTTACTATCCATTGGTATTCCATTGGCCTGTATATTTTCACCTCCAGCTGCAGGTCTGTGCCATCAGTGGCCAAGCCGCCCTGGAGCCGGTCTTCTCGCCGAAGACCAAACACGTTTACGAGAAAGGGTTCCTTGGTCCTTGATGTCAAGGCTTAGGAACTACCGTAGATAGGTAGCCAGATTGGTACCTGCGAAACACAGCAGGTTTTTCCGGAATTTTACTGGGAATGGTCATTTTTTTGTCATTCTAGTCAGGTGAATTTCCTGCAAAGATTGGGATTCATTGTTGCTAGAGGTGTTTTTTAGGCCCCAGAGGCTGCATCATGACGGTTCGCTGAATAAGTCTGTGCCCTTTGTCAAAACATAAGGTTTGGAGCCAGGATGGAGGGATTGGCCACAGCACTGCGTTGTCCTGAGGCTCATTGAGAAGCAGATAGAGAGTTCAGGGAAGTGCCCCGTAACGAAGGAAGAGCTGACGAAGGACAGCATCGAAAGTACGGAAACTGTTGTAAGGTTTGAAGGGAGCCCCTGAGTCTCTATATATTTGTTGATATATTGTATATAATAAAATATAATATATGTATTACATATATGTATATACATATTCATGTTTTCAAATTATGCATCAATCATCCCATGATATTTGAATTTGCAAGAGTACCAGCTGAATCACGGACGCATGGTTGCCACTATAACATAGACTGATAGCACCAGGATGACCTGGTCGACATCAAGAGCAACAAGTCCGTGCGGCCGCGACCCGCAACGGCCACATCCATTCCGGGGATGTTGTGGAAGCCCCAGTGACCAGTTGGCTGAATGCTTGGTGTAGATACGAAGGTGCAAAGGGCAGATACAAAGGAGGTATGGTGTATACCTGGTGTATACCTTGTGTATACCTTGTATTCGTCAAAGTGTGAAACCTAGGACTTTGCTGCAAAGCGAATGGGCTTGGAACTTAGTCCGCCATGGGATAGTCATGGATGGTTAATGCCAGCCCGTCCCCGCCTCTCCTGAATCGGTGTCAGGATGCCCTGATGTCAGAGACCTTCGAGCTGAAATCACAGCTTGACACATCTAGAAACTTGGCATCAAACAGTCTGGGCCACAGGTTTCGAAACTAGAAGACATATTGGAATCTTATTGGATCTGATTGAGATCCTACTCCACCCAACAAGATAATGGTGGTGCAATGGGTTATTAAATGTTGTTAATGGGTTGTGAAGGGGTTATTAATGGGATACATATCTCATTTAGAGGATCAGATCATTTGGTTTCACTCGAAAACACAGGGACCCAGGGGAACCAGGCTCTGGTAGTTCTGCTTTCCTGTCCTAGGAAAGCAGCTCTCGCATGCGTCGAGCTCTTGGAAAGCGTGAGGGACCGTTCACTTTGATGAGAAAGATGATACGATGATCAGATGTTCGTATATGACATATCATGCGATCTTAAAAGAAACACTTTTTTTTGGTGTATATAGAATTATTATGAATTCTTGAAGTTTAGCTCGACTTTATCCTGTCCCAGGGGTACCTTGCTGTATTTGTTGGTACCAAAGCATCAATGTCTTGGTCAGCCGATGGAGACACCAGTTTGCCTCAGGCTGTACCAGCACGATGCCGCGTGTCGTGCCTGGAACCCGAGATTTGATGTGTCGACTGATGTCGACTTGTGGAATTCATCTCTGCATGGTTGGATTTTATGTCCATGGTAAGCTGGTCTGATCCTCCTGCGGAATCTGCGGAGTGGCTACCGGGTCAGGTGATTGCTCGCCTCATTCGTGAGAGAGATATGGTGAAGGCTCAGAACCAGCAGCTGCAGGCAGGATTCAATTTTCTGGGCAGACATCAACTTTGCAGGATCTGGTTGGATAATCATACCATGGGTAATACATGGGGCCATGGGGCTTGCGGACGCAAAGAAACAGCTCACCCTCAAAAAGTTGTTCAAAAGGCGGGTTTTTCGGGAGTGGCCTAAAGAGTCTAAAGTCCCAATTTCAAACCGGAAGTCATTTTTCAGGATGTCTGCACATGAAATCCCAATTTTTTGCACATCAAATCCGCATGATGTGCTTTCCAGGAGCAGCTGTCCAACTCAGCCCCGTTGCCCAACGGCGCAATGCGGGAGGTGCGTGTCCAGGGGTGCGGGGAACGTGGGTGCAACCTGAACTTTGATGTTGTGATGATTGATGACTGATTTTGATGGAAATCAAATTGATGACTAGCTTTTCCAGCACTAGAATTAGAATTATAGCATCCTATAACTTCCCGAAGCCAGGCAAATGTGACCCAAAGTTCTGGGTGCCAAAGCATCGCAAGCATCGCGCAGGAAGCCGAAACCGGCATCACGCCTGAGATACTTCAGAAGATGAAGGAACTGGCAGATAGTTTGCCCGGACTTTAGCCACCTTAGCCACCTTGGCTGTGCAAACGAACATGGCCTGGCTGTGGCTCAAAACAAGGGGAGTACAGACTTGATTATGTTCAGTATTGAGAACTGATACTTCCAATATTTCTCGGGCGATTTTGAGGGCCAGGAGATTTAAAGACCACGCCTGTGAGAATGTGAACATCTCCTGAGGTCCAAGACTCGAAAGCAGAAGCACTTCCCAGATCTGAACCCTTTAGCAGATATCAAGAAGTTCAAGTGCGTGGCAACCTTAGCTGATCGAAGCAGGATATATATATATGCACCATTTTCAGGGAAGATTTGCTGGAAAGAATGGCCAACAGTTTGCATCAGTTTGCCATCCAACTATAGAATACATTGTAAAGACCTTGAACTAGAGTCAACTTCTGGATCTAGCAGAGCCAAAAGAATGAATTTAGATATCAATGCTGTTCAAGTTGAATCAAGTGGCCAACATGATACCTTCAGACTTCATCAGATCACAATTCAGAGACTTCTGCTAGTGCGACTGAGGTGGGCACTCATCCAATCCATAAGTCCACAGAGCGCCTTGGCCGAAACGATCGCTGTTGGGCGGTTTGCCCGGTTTGAGTGGTGGAAACTGAGCTTTAGCCCCGGTGGTGAGGCCTGGGATTCTCTGTGTGGATGTGCACAAGACGGAGGGCAATCGTGTTGTGACAGGAGGTGTCGATGCACAGGCGCCGCGCTTGGGAATATGGAGAAAGAATGGCAGGGCTGCTGACTTTCGATGAATTTCATGCCAGGGCCACAGCGGCGATGTTTTTCCACTTCGCACTGAGCGACTTTGGCTCGCTGCATGGCAGGTGGTGCTTTTTGATGCTGAAAAGGGATCTCTGGTGCAGAAGTTGACCGGCCATGCGAAGAAGGTTACCTCAGTGAGTCTCCATGCCACCAAGGACTCGGTCAAAATGTGTCGAGACATGTGACGATCGATGTTGATGGATGTTGGTCCTTCACACATGGCAGTTTCTGGCAGTTTCTGGATTTGATTTGAGTACAGTATATAATTAATAAAGGCAAACAACAGAATAACCATCCGAAAGTCAGAGCTTGCCATTTTTTCGGAGCCGAAATGTCTGCCTCAGGAGATCATTGTCTCAGGCTCGCAGGATGCAACTGCCAAGGTGCCTTGAAAAAAAGTCACCGTTCCCAACTGTAGACGAAAACATTCTACACGTTTTACAACTAATTTAAGAGGGAAGATCGGAAGATCATGAAGACAGCAATCTCAGCATTCATCATAGATCTGAGTATCATGAAATATCATGAGAATGACATCAGCTATTGTCAGCTTTGCGAATTATTCTAATTCAGCCAGAGCCAGATGGTGAATCACCTGGAGGTTTGGACCTGCACCGGTCCGGACTGGACGGCAGCGTGCCCCTTTACATATCTGGGATGGGGGACTGGACGGAATCGTCATCAGAATTTTGTGAATTCATAGTTCATCATACAGTAAACTCAGTAAACTAGCCCACAAAAGTGGGCTTTAACTAGGATCCAGCAGCCAATTTATTGGTGAAATCGCAATGTCTTCAAAACTCAAACAAATATGTGGGAACCGAAAGTCCCTTGGTGGTAGAAAAGTGACAAGGGCTTCTTGGAGCACCAATGCAGCAGAACTTCATCTGTCCACGGGTACAGGTATACCTGTGCTCATACCGTTAAAAAACATCAGGCAGAGGTCTGCGACCCAGACTTTGTCGGACCATTTTCAACCATTTTCAACCATTTTCAACCAAGTTGGCTCGGTACAGATTCATGTCTTGTAAGCTGTACTGCAGATCGTCTCTGCTTCGATTGGAAGCTGCCCTTGAGAAAATCATCGCCGTCCCAAGGTGTCTGAGATTTCCATCCATCCACTTGGTGGCAGAACCCAGGGGGCCGAGGGGGCGGCACGGCTGGTGACACAGGGCGACCCCTGGGCGGACCCCGTTGCTGTTTGAGCATGGCAATGCTCGATGTTTCTGAACTGCGGAATGGGCCTTGAACAATGCTTTTAACAGACATCTGTCGCCTTGATGAGGAACAGTAAACGGGAATCTGTCAAACTGATTAACCCCTTCAAAATGGATGCCTAAGAATTAAACATTATAAATTACTGTATATATATATATTCCATTACGTTCTATTACATCCTCATCGTCCCATATTTTGCTGATGATATCCCCATCTTTCCCACATAAATCAAGCCTGCCAAAAAATTGTCCATTCGTACCCCATTTTGGCGCCAAAAATGGCCGATGTTTCGTGTCGAGGTGACTACTTCCTGACCTGCGCCATGGACAATTCTTGGGCCATGCACGATCTCAATGTGGGACGTTGCGTGCGGATGCCGAGAGTTCACTGTTGGAATCTGTTGGATGTCTGGAGGTCTCCCAACAGATTGGTTTGGGGCTGGGAGCTTGGATGTCCATGTTTTGTCAGCCAGGTAAAGCATCTGCGGGGTCTAGAGACCAGCCAGGCCCCCAAAGAGCTCAGCATCATGTTGGGTGCCTTGGGAGCAATCCTGAGCTCACCAAATGGTAGTTGTCTATAGTTGTCTCATAGCCCACCATGCCAACCACAAGCAGTTGGTTACCTGGTTCCACTGCTGCCAAGCCTCAAAACAACGATCCAGTGATCCAGCATGAGACGTTCCAAATGTTCCAAGGCTATCCGTGCATGAAGTGGCATCCAGATGGTATGATCCTGGCTGCTGGCGCACAGGGCCACGCCGTGGATGTTTGGGATATCAAGGAGCAGAAGGTCGTGGCAACCCTCTTGGGACATCAGGGCTCTGTGGAGGACTGGGATGACGGGGTCTCGGGATGTTGGTGCTCACTCGGCTGTTGACTGATATATCTGATATTGACTTGACTGAGAGTTTTCATAGTTTTTCCATGTTTGAACCTGGAATGGATAAGTTTTTCAATTTACTCAGCAAATCAAGCAAGGCAATGTTCAATTTTACTTCTGTCGGACCTGATACACATGAGTCTAAAGGTCTACGGCAGAACGAGTTTCTATCAATCCCTACAAGAGCGTCTGGTTGAATCCCCGTCTGTTTTGCAGGCTTTGAGCTTTTCCGGCAATGGCTACTACTTGGCCACGGGGCAGGGCAACCAAGGGCTGGGAATGCGGGTCAGCGGCTGGATGTGGCTACGATAGTCCAGTGGTTTCCACCATATTGGGTGAGATACTTCCTGACAATCTTCTAAAATTTCTTGCTCTGAAAGGGTGCGCCTTGCGCTCAAAATCGGTCTGGCTGATCTCGGTGCCCACTGTTAATTGGAACATGGCTTGTCTCAAAATTTGGTTCCAAAATCACCGAAAAATCCCATGGTTGATGATTGATCCATGTTGATCCCCATTTTTCCCGCCATGTCCAACGGGGAATCCGAACGTAGCGTCTGAGGTCCAAGGATGGCACAGTCACCTGGCAGCAGCCCCTGGGCCTCGGGTCACTTATCCCTATATGCCCATAGTGTCATCACAATACATTATGTCATGTCCCTAGAAACATCATGAAACATCTAGAAACTATATCCCCATGGCATCCATCATGTTGCAAACATAGCTTGGCGAAGCGAGGTGAAGTTGTGGGATTTGCGAAAGCCGCTGAACATCCAGACGCCGGGCACCCAGAAATCGCCTGGACAGCACAGCGCAGAGATAATGACTGCGGGAAGCCGATGTGATGGCCTCAATTGAGGCACAATAAGTTGTGACATGTTGCATTTTTGAGAGGTTTAGTGTCCTGAGCGTGTGCTGGCTCTGTAGATGTTCGGAAGTGTGAGATTTGGAAGTATTTTGCAAGGATCCCTTAATGCAGGATACTCCAATTGGGATATAATTTCTGATTTTCTGCGTGGTTGAAGGAGTGTCAAAATTACTTTCCAGGAGATAAAAGAATCTTGAAAGCGAGACATAGACTAGACTCGACATGGAAAACATCGAAAACAGCAGCCACACACCTACCACAATGATGAAGGTAAACTCACGCTCATGACAACAGTGATGGGGATCACAAGCATGCTAAAGATAGCGGCAAGGATGGTGATGATGGTGATGATGGTGATGATGGTGATGACTAGGACGACGACGAGGACGAGGAGGACGAGGAGGAGGACTAGGAGGAGGAGGAGGATGATGATGATCTATTCTGAAGAAAACTACCACTGAGGCTGCAGCTTGAGAGTCCTGTCAACGCCGTGGCCTTCGACACTACAGGCAGCAGCTAGGGACGCGTTGCTGTGGAAAATATGGCTACAGAAGGTAGTACCGCAAAAATGTGCTTTCCAATTCTTGTTAGTAAAGGCGACTGTTGTCTTCGAGATGGGCTATTCCAAAAGCCAAAACAGGTGTAGGACAGAAGTTATGAGTGCGAGCAGACCCGGGTTTCATGTGGCAGCTAACAATAGCTCAACTGAAAAATCAAAGGACCTTGGTGGACCGGGTGCTCTGATTGTTCTGGAGCCTCAGGTCAATACCTTTCGGTTGGTGCTGACACCGTTCAGGTGCGGGAGTCTGTCACCATCAACTGCGTCTGTTTGGGGTGCAAAAATGGAAGATACCCAAATGGAAAAGGCCATTTTGATGGTGAAAATGATTATGAACTATGGGATACCATGGGAATCCATGGGATTTTTCATGTTTTTTCGGGTATCCTACAGACACAGCGAGTTGCAGGGCACCTGGTCACCTCCCCTGTGCCACAGATCTACAACTTCGCCTCCAAAGCGAGCATGGCCGAGGCGGTGACTCTGAAGGCCGGGACGCCCGGACTGTTGAGATGAAACAATTGTTGAATCCAAAACTGGTTGGTGGTTTGAACATGTTTGAAATAGATTGAAATATACAATAATAATACTAAGTACTATAATATACTGCATATTTTTTAGAATCATAAAAGTTCCATCCTACCTGGGGATGATGATCCATAGATTGAGGGTCATCGAGACGCCAGTCTCCAAGCCTCGAGGACCATGGAGATAGCGTGATGGGGGTTTGCTTCAGCCAGCACGCTCGATCACTGGCAACTGTGTCACTTGGCTGCAGATGACCCTGTGGCGATACCAAAAAAAAAGGCGTTGATTCTGATGCTGATGAGGATGGGAATATATGGGAATAATGTAGATAACATTGATCTGCAGCAGCATCATCGCCGTTCACCATCATTCGTCATCGTTCATAATTTGTCATCGTTTATCTCCACAATATTGTTCCTCTTATTCATTGTTGTGGTCAGTTTCATGCTGGTTTGATGAGTAAGAACCTGGCAAATTGACTTGTGTTTTTCACCATCCTCACGGTCTTCGCAGATCAGTATGATGGCTTGCCATTGTACCAAAGCTCACGCGATGCCTTAGGTCCATGGATCGAACCTTGAAGATCTACCGCTGAGCCGATCTGCAAAGCCTCGGCTTCACTGACCACAAATCACTGTCACAAGCCTTGGAAACCAGGGAACATCAGGGAACATCAGGGAACATCAGGGAACATCAGGGAACATCAGGGAACAATGGAGCTTTTTCCAATCCATTTTCAACAAAAACATCAAAAACTCTTCGGCAGCTCGCTGCCAGGAGTGTGCCGATGTGGGGCCAGGCCTGACGTTATGATGCCGTGGGCGGAGAAATTGGCACACTAATGAGATGAGATGCAAGCGCAAAAAGATGCCAACAGGGTGCTGTGTCAGGGCAGCCGAAAAAGCTAAATGGCTGTGAGTCAAAACGTTTTGGTATTGAACAGGTACTCGTGGATATCCCGTTCAATACCCCGTTCAATACCCTATTGAACAGAAGGGTCCCCATCGTTCAATACCCCCCGTTCAATACCCTTGTTCAATACCCTTGTTCAATAAATATCCTGCTTCAATTCTAGGTACTTTTTGCACAGCACCCTGCACAGCACCTTGGCCAGACTTCGCCACCGCAGTCTGGACAGCACCCTGCACAGCACCCTGCACAGCACCCTGCACAGCACCTTTGCCAGACTTCGCCACCGCAGTGTGGATAGCACCCTGCACAGCACCCTGCACAGCACCTTTGCCAGACTTCGCCACCGCAGTCTGGACAGCACCTTGGCCAGACTTCGCCACCGCAGTCTGGACAGCACCCTGCACAGCACCCTGTACAGCACCTTTGCCAGACTTCGCCACCGCAGTCTGGACAGCACCCTGCACAGCACTCTGGGTCTTGGGAGCTTGGGTGATTCCAACTGGTGTATTTCTCGTTTTCCTTTGTACTCGCAGTGATTTCCCGCGTGGCAGAGAACTTGATGACTGGTTCGGCTACCGGTTTTTTGAGGTAGTTCGTTCAATACCCCGTTCAATACCCGTTCAATACCCGTTCAATACCTCACTATGGGCTTTCCAGCTCCGTTGCCCAGCTATGCCTCCAAAGTCGGTGGGATGTTTGTTTAGGAAATGCCCTCCGTTCAATGCCCCCCGTTATCCCCCGTTCAATACCTCCCGTTCAATACCCCCGTTCAATACCCTATTGAACAGAAGGCTGCCGCATATCCACCGGGGACCGGGGGTTTTGACTCACAGCCAAATATCTCTTGTGATCATTGTGATTTAGATGTGAACCAAAGCAACTTGATTTCTGTGACAGTCTTGACTCCAACATCTAGTGCAAAGAGACTGTCCCAGTTTGCACTTGCATCATCCTTTGATCAACGCTGCAATGCTGGGCCTCTTCAACATTGATCTCTATTCTCAAGGGTTTAGGAGCCGACACCGTGATGTAAGTGAGACCTTGAGGCAGATCTGTTTTGCCCATCCTTGCCACAATTTGAAGCTCACCCACTGACAAAGATTCAAGTGTGCAAACAAGCTCAGTTCGATGTACAATGACAATCAAACCTCTGTTTTACATTCATAGTTCATAGGAAGCTTCGGGATTTCCCAAGATCCTTATCTGCAAACACGTCGATGTGCGAGAAGCCGCCATCTGTAGAGCGGTCTCTCAGTGCTCTCTCTCTGTGTTGATCATTGCCAACAACAAGTACTGCAATTGGAAACCATTAGAGTTCTGCCACAATGAGGGAGATTACCTCAGACAAAGCAATGCAGACTTCCACCCGAATGTGCCTGCACAAGTGGTTAAAGATGCAGACCATCATGAGATGCAAAGCGCAATCGAGGACTTACTGCCAGCGCAAGTCTGTCATCTGAAAGGTTGCTGTTCTTTGCTGGGCACAGTGTAGAAACTGGACCATCATTCCTCTTGCGAAGTCATTGGACCATACCAGCCAGCATCCATTCAGCCTGTGGCAGCTGTGTTGCTCTCAGTAAGTCAGCTTTGTAGATAGCATCAATCTCTTCTCTTTGTGGATCGCTGGCAGCCCAGTAGTGAGACGTGGAATAGGAACATGTAACTCTGGCGATGGTAGATGAGGGGACTACATCAGAATGCCTACTGCATTATCTCGAGATGCTGCCAGAAAATGTCCTCGCGAAGAGATTAGGCTATGATGGGGTTCGCTTCCCCGTATCCTAGACACCCTTACACCCTTGAAGCACTCGCGCTATCTCCACCTGGTATTCTCAAGATTTCACGTGCAGTCCCTTTGAGATGCGGTTTGCTTGTTTTGTTGAAGCAATGAATGATTCGGCTGCAACCCAAAACCCTCATTGTATTAGTTGTATCGCCTTGAATTGGCGGGAACCCTTTCTGCTGAGGTAAATATGATGGTGCCAGATGGTCCAGTGCTTGGTGATGTCTCCCTCCAAAAAGAATCTGGAAGCAAGAAACGGGCAATGGGCACCGCACCACGCCCATCAGCGGCCAGAGTAGTGTAATTGATGATAGTTTTTCTTTACGAAATTGGTATTCTTTCAAAGGACAAATCCTTACGGGAACGAGCCCGTCTTGAGCTCCCTTGGTGCTGTGGTGACCTCTAATGGTGTGGCGTCGAACAACTTTTGAAGGAATTTTGGGTGTTCAACGTTTCCTGTCCTTCAAACGGTTTGGCAGTGTTCTTGAACTTGAGAAGGATGCGAAGGTATGTTTCCTGAGCTGATTTGAATGGCATTCCACTTTGCAGCATTCGGCCTCAGGTGCTGCTTCTTCCAACCAGGTCCCACAGCAAGCTGAAGTGGTGGGCCAGCCTTCGACGATGGTCAAGGTGTGGTTGGAACCAGGGTTAGATTTGCTTCATTCGCATTGACATGTACCTGTATGATCCTGTATGTACCTTTGAGATTTTGATAGATTTTGGATGCATCTCTTATTCAAGACAATACGTGACTATAGTGTAATATCCTGTACTGTGGATTCCATTTGAGTGATAGTGCCTCCAGTGTGCCTCCAAAGCTGCCGTGCACTTGGGCCAGGTCGCCGTCCCAACTGGTGCAACGGCAGGGCAGCAGATCAACTTCACGATGCCGAATGGCAGGGCACAGAGCTAACCACTGAAATATCCATGATGCATGAAACCTTGCAAAATGATGAACCATTCTATGACTATTTACAAAACTATATAATTATATATATAATATTATATTATATACATATACATATATTTCTATTGAAAATATTGAAATGGACAGTGTTTGATTTGTGAGAGGCAAATTCTCTTCTGGTCCTTGGTGCTGGTACCCTGAACATCCAAGGTCAGCGTGTGACCACTTCCCTGCAGGACACTGGCAGTTGTGCAGATTTCTCTGCTGGGTTTCAACTGGGTTTTCCAAACCTTTCGAAGCAATGCCACTAGGAGGGAGTTCAACCTGGCACAGTTCTCACCGTAGCAGTCCCCAGTGCAGGCATGGGTAGAGTTCTGAGCCTATGGGATTTCGATTCGGCTTGCTCCAAAACATGGGCAACACCAAACATGATGGGGATCTTCTTGGGGAAAATCAGGAAAATGATATAACATGGGCAACATGGGCAACCCATGAAGAAATGTATGGGGAAAAAGATGATGACACAAAATTTTGGATTTCTCGGCTCTCCCGATCTTATGGGCTCAAATCCAGGGTGTTTGGTTTTGATCTTGGGGCAAAAATCAGGAAAAAGATATAACATGATATAACGATATATAAACAATATAAACAGATAGAAAAAGACAAGATATACATATAGATATACGAAGTTTTTTGCCTGAGAAGCATCCCCGCATCCCCCTTTTTCCATCCTTTTCCCAGAGATTCTCCATGGCGCTCGCCAGATGCACCAGCTCCAGTGGCTCCTGTGGCTCCTGCCATGCCTGTGAACAGCAGTGATGGCCTGGCACAAGCCAGAGAGGCCCCAAGGGATCCCCAAGGATCCGTCGTGCCCATTTCACATCATTTCACCACGTTTGGGGCAAAAATAGGTGCTAAAAAGGGCGAATTCAAATGGGTGGCATGTGAGAATTTCAGTGGATCAACATATTTGTGTAATCGGAAAATGATTGGTTTATACAGTACTGCATGTAGTTACAGTTACAAGCAATGACCAGTGTTCCGAGTCCCAAGGGGTCCTAGACTTTGACATCTACTTGCCTATATTGAAAATGTGGGCATCGGAATGTATGGGTCAAACTCTATGTTTTCTTTGGAGGGGGTCTTGGATTGACTGTGAGCCATAAAACCAAGCCTCCGCAAAGAGCAAAAAGCATCCATTATCTCAAGCAAGTGGCGATTGTCTTCACAAAACACTTGTTGGCGACAAAGAGCCCTTGGAACCACAGCATTTGGGGATATCTTTGTGAAGCAGTCATGCTTGGGACAGTTCTTCTTTGAAGTTTTGAATGAGTGATCTGGGTCAAGGCTAACGGCAGTTGGTAAAACCAGGACTGTAAAACCCATGGATTTCCGTTCCACCCTTGACGACAAGGCATTGCTCCCTGCACCCGTGGTGAATGCTGCGGAGGAGTGATGGGAATGGTTGAGAGGCTGCAGTTTAGCGTATCCTGAAACCAAACTTTCGTAACTGTTTCTCCAGCTGCTTAAATCGCCATGTCAACAAATACAATGGGTTTCCCAATTAGAAAGAAATGTACTTCCCTTGTTTGCCATCTTTCATTTGCGAACTGCCTTGAATCCGCTGACAGCTGTAGGCGGATCAGCGCGCGGCCACATTGAAGTGGTTGCTCTACGGCGGTAGCTTTTTGGTCTGCTGCTTTGCGGGGTAACCAAGTCAAGGTCCCGAGGAATGATAGGACCGTGGCCCTGAAAGTGCTTGAGGTTTGCGGCTTAAGGGTTGTTTTTTCCACGACAGCAGCAAGGCAGACTTTGTGCAAGATTTTTTTGGAGGATTGAAAATCAGGTCTCATGGTTGATCATAATTTTCCAATGCCATTCAATATCTTACCCTCTGGTTGTTTAACATAGCCCATGGTATAGATGGCCCATTTATAGATGGTTTACCTATTATAAATGGTGATTTTCCATGGCAAACCGTTAAATAATCAGATGGTAGATGATGCAGTTTCTACGCTCCACATCCCACGGCACCACGTTTTGCCTGGCGCCGCCCAGTGCAGCCTGCCCGTGGCCCTCTGCATTTGGGGTGCTTTGGCGCTTGACTACTTTTGCAAGTCCTCAGAGGAGGGGGGTTTTCTTTAAGGTCCGTGGATGCTGGTGTTGCAGTTTATATTTAAAAGAATGGGGTAAAACGGTGAAGCCACTGTTGTTTTTCATTGATGGAACATTGACCTTGAAATCTGTTGTTTTGATGGCCAACATCAACCAAGGGAATTGACCTCTCAATCAGTTTTTGGGGAAATGGGAGGAGATTAGAGAAGGCCAAAGTCCAATGTTAATAGGCACTTTCAGAAGTAGTCAGCCAAGAACTGTGATGTCTCGGTCAATAGACAAGGCTACAAACTTCTGCCCGCGTGTCCGACAAATGAGCCTGCACCTATCCACCTGCTTGCTCATTTCTCCAACCACCAAAAATGGATGCTTGAACGTTTCTGTACACCAAAAATGAACCAATTTTCTGGCTGAATGAGTACCTTATTTTTGACCCATACGCATTCACTGAAGGTTTCCCTTTGCCGGGCGGTTACACCCCATGTTGTAACGAGGACCGGGCACGTCGCCCACGCTCCTACGCCCCTGCTTGCGCATCTGCTGTGACTGTCAGCGTTGTAGGTGGGACGATCTGCCATTTTGGATGATTGTTGAGGGTTGGCAAGGAGACAACCAGACAGTTTTCACCTGTTCTTTCGTTCAGCTTCTGCATCGAAAGACGTGATACATGGGTCATATGAGTCATATGTGATAGAGGAGCCACATCGACACGGGTCATTTGGTTGCCGGTTTGACTCTTCTTATCCAACCAAGATGATGACCCCCATTGACTCATGAAACTTCCGCGAAGCCACCGATGCAACCAGCGCAACCAGGCGTCCTGTGCAACTTGCTGCAAATTGGGCCATGGGAATGCAACTCACATGGTGATGTCTTGGGTGACCTGTTATATAGGTTTTTCTGAACCCGGAATGACGGGCAAAGAACAACATGACGTGGTTCATGACTCGATTTATTTTCAGCCTTTTCTTGATGATTCCCTATTTCTTTGTGGTGACCCAAGATCGGTGTTGTTTAAAATTGCTTGTTTGTGGTAGAGGGCCTTTCCACGTACTCATGTGGCCGCCTCTTTTCACTTGCAGATTTTTTTGACCGGTCACAGGTCAAAATCAGGTACCACAACTGGATACGCGTGGCATGCTTTGACATTCAGCATGACAATTTTTTCGGTGGATAACTCCCCAATTGAACCTTGGACACGCTGTACATGTCGGCTGCATTCATAAGGCGTTTGCGCACTCCTGGCAGTTCTGATCGCAGCAGTGTTGGTCCGGCACTTGGGGAACATGACATCATATTGGGTGTGTCCAACATGGGGTGTACAGGCCGTCAAACTTTGCCAGTTTTTACGGAAGCTGATGTAGAAACATATCTCTCAAGGGACGGTCCTGAAGGTGGCTGCAATGTGTGCAACAGACGGCGACAAGCCGGACGTTTGCACTGGTGTGCCTGACATGTTGTGAAAGGAAGATTACTCCCACTCACCGAATTTCAGTGCTGGACATGCCATAGTTCGATGATCTGCAATTCGCCGATAGACACATTGCCAAACCGACCTGCCAGATTCCAGATTGCATTGGCTGCACTCCATTCTTGTTGGGAATTTTGGGCTATATCTAGTTTTACTGGATCTATGTCTAGTATTCGACGGCTACACCCCAAAAATATCGGACACATATCAATTCATGACAAGGTATTGGGACATCCCTGTTCAAACCCAAGGTCTTGTAGTTCTCTCCTAAGAATTCTTCTCCCACAGGTGGTTCTACCCTCTACGGGACGGGTTGCCAAAGTGCTTGGTTCGCCAGACCTGCAGAAGTTCCTCAACAACTCAGACACGCCTTGGCACCATGGACCTCATGGACCTCATGGGCCGCATCACTGGGAGCCCCACCATTGGCAAAACAAGAGGATGTGGGGGATCTTGGATTACCATGGATAAAAAAAACAACAAATTTCAGATGTCACATTTCTTTTAATCTTCGAAACTGTTTGTTTCTCTTCCATCATCAGGATGTGTTCCGTTAACTCAGGATGAAATTCATTTTGTGTGAAAGGTCCGCCATCGGCTACCGAGGTTCTTGGACAAGGTCTTGCACAGGGATCATCACCCGGAAGGCCAGGGATTTGACATCGCCTGCTGATTTTAACAGTGATTATTGTATATTATTGTAATACACTGTACTGTAATATAACACTGTCAATATACTGATATACTGTAATCCAATTTTGTTTTGTCCAATCTTCAATATCGTAGTGAAGGCTGTAGCAGCCTGCAGCAGACTTTGAGATGATTTCGCGGTTGTGATTTGGTTCAAGAGTTCAACATTGATGATGTGCACTCTGGAGATGTGCTTGAGGGCACTTGCCCGTTGATGTTTGAGGCCTCGTTTTTCCTCCTGGAATGCCAAATGTGGAGGTCGGATCCTTCCTTCATGTGGAAAGACATCCTAAAAATCTCATATCCACTCAGTGGATCCCTTCTTGCAGCACAGAAATTCCCAACACTTTGAGGACCTTGCCAAGACACTGGATGGGGAGATGGATGCGGTGCCTCAAGGTGATGGGATGGGAGGCATCACCATGGCGCACAGTAGACATACGTATAGAATCGTATAGAGCATATATGCCATAGATAGCCATAGATATCCATAGGGGTTTTATTTGAAAATGGGATACCCCACAATTTATACAATTGGATGGTTGATCGTTATTTTCACATATTTTCACCAGGCTGCACCCATCACATGGATAGAATTATTTGGCGCCGCTGGATTTGCCGTTGATTCTAGGACCTCTGGGACCAGCGAAGGACTGATGCTGTCACCCGGTTTGCCGCTGTGTTTCAGGGGCTGCATCAGGGCTGAGTTTCTGGCAGTTCATCGCCAATTTATACAATCCTTATCCATTGTCTATCTATTTAGTGGCCCCAAAATGACCAACCCCACTTTCTGCATTGATTTTGAACTAGCGGCTAAAGCAAAACTTGGTTTTCTGTATCTTGCTATGATCAGGATGCAACGTGTAAGACATAGTGCTTTCAAACTTCCGGTCTCGAAAATCCAGACGATAGCTATGTTGCCTTCAACATATAATCACTGATGTGTGGTTTGGGTTGTAATCAAAAGAGGGGTGACGCAACCAAAGTTTCAATAAATTGCTTTCAGAATGTGGCTTCGTCCAGTCAAGAGAAAACAGAGAGTGAAGCGGTCTTGTTTTGTTTTTTTTTTCTGTGGGAGCCCAAAGAATTTCCTCTTGATTCAAGGAGGGCTTCATTTTCTGAGGCTTAGAGACCTGGTGACACATTGAGACCGGTTTCGCAGAGAATCATGTGGAGCTCCATGTAGATCTTGATTGAAATTTGTGGATCAAAATCATGCCTTCAGTCGCGAAGCTGAATCTCTCCGTTGCGAAGCCGGTGATGGAGCCACGAAACGTCACAACAGTCTGCCATCTTTTTTTGGGCTGATAGGATCTTTGCAGCACACTTGTACAGGAGATGTGATGCACAGAGAGTGTATTTTAAGTCCTGCGGCTCTCTCTTGAATCCCTGGGCGCAATGGACATCCCAGGATTGGGTTCTCGATGAGATCCCTTTGGCAGACACCTGAAGCCCTATTGGTTCAGCATGCCATATGAATGTGATAGCCCCAACCGGGGCTACAATCTTGCAGGATCTTCCCATTGAATATGAATGGAAGTCATGATCAGTTGAAGATATGATACGAGAATTAGTGAAGGCTTCATGTCGCCCGGCAGTGAATTCCTTTTGTGTACGCGGCCATGTCCATAGAGTTGTCGGTGTCATGCAGAGGCCATGATATGTACTGTTTGCGATCCTTGTCAATCTCCGGTGGCGCGCGCGAAAATCGGGCAAGGTGAAGTATAGCAGAAAATCACTAAGGCTTCAGGCCACATGCCAATGCTTGGCATGTGATTGGCATGGGAAACCTTGATCCACATATAATCATATATACTTAGATATATATCTTTATCAATTATATATATATATTGAAAAGCATGTTTTCCAAGACTAGTGCTTGACTTTGAGACATTCACATGTACTGCACAATGGTTCAGGCTTGATAGTGAAAAGTCAAAGCTCAGACATGCACTTCACTTAACACGAAGTAAGCAGCAGCAATACAGAACGGCAGGTCTATCATCACGTGAATTTGGCAGTGCTAGAGTGAGTATTCGGGGGAAACTTGAGAAGCATGAGCGGATGATCGTGCAATCAAGGCACCACAGGGTGATGGTCGGTTCAAACATGGCCATCGCCTTCCTTTTCACTACGAAAAAGGGTAGATGGTTTGCCAGGGGCGCCTCAATAACATCCAGATAAATGATGAACACACATATGTCCTTATGATCCTATCAGTTGGCATGTTAGCCTTTTTGTTTTGACAGAAACCTGCCGTGTACACCGTCAGTTTTGGGTTCAAGGCTTGGCTCTTACGTGGCCTCCCTGTAGTGATGGCTGCAGGGATAGGGCTACGTGAGACCAAGCTGAGCTCAGAGGAGTCCTTCAAGGCACTATGGGACTCCGCTACAGACTACATCCTCTTCGAGTGCTTGGACGACGCAGGCAATGCCCAGGGGTTAGCGGTGGGGGCCGTGACCTCCAGGTACCATGCTGATGGCGACGGTGCCTTCATCAAGCTGGACTATGTTGCTGCGTCTGACGAGTATTACGCCCACTGGATTGTCGACGAGGGTGGATCGGCCAAGTGGCATCACGTCTGCCGCCGAAGCTGGTCCTCCTGTCGGCGTAAAGTCGGCCGAGACCAAATCGTGCACATCCAGAAGATGGCCTGGATCACTCTGGAGGATGTAGAGGCGTGCTTGAGGCAGTGGAAGGTGAAGCGACTTGACAGGTCACTGCCGGGGGGACGACGCAAGCCTGTGACCCCGGTGGATGATGCAAAGGCCCCCAAAGAGGCCGACCTGCAGACTGCCTCGAAAGCCAAGGCTGCTAAGCCGCCTCGTGGGGAAGAACGCCGTGGTGATGGCCGTGGTGACTCCGAGGACTCTCGGGGAGGCAGTGCTGAGCTGTCAGGAGCTGAGGATGACGATGTCGGGAGGTCCAATGCCTCGAAGCCTCGATCGGGCAGAAAGCACAGCAGGAGGAGGAGATCGCATCGAGACTCTCGCAGCCCTCGCAGGTGCCGGCCTGAGGAGGCGCGTGGGTCTGTTGGTGACCTTACCAGGGGGCATCGCAAGAAGAAGTCTGACAAGAGCAGCCCGTTGGATGCCATCCTTGAGGACGATGGCGCTGGGCCCTTCGAGGCAGACAGCCGTTTGGAGGTGCTGAGAAGGTCTCTTGAGGAGAAAAAGCAGAAGAAGCCAGAGGCAAAAGAAGGAGCCAGTGCCGTCCTGGCGCGTCGCGTTCAAGCTGGCGTAGAAGGTTCAAAGGAAAAAAGGAAGGAGTCTGAGCAGGATAAAGTGAAGAGGGCTCTCAAGACACTGAGCAAGACCAAGGAGGAGGCGTCCTCCTCTTCACTTGATGACAGTGATGATGATGCTGCCGTCTTCGGTGTGGGCCGGGGTGACTCAGACCTCCTGAGCAGGCAGCGCAAGTTGAGGAAGCTTTCAAGCGAGAAGCCAGGGGCTCTCCTGGTGAAGGGTTTCTCGCTTATGCACGAACAGCTGGGGACTCTCTATGGGGATCCAGCAACCTCGACGTCGAGTGAAGCAGTGCTGCAGCCTGGTGCTTTGCGGTACCTTCTCACAACCGCGCTCCCACTAGTTGACGTGAAGAAGGTGGGAGAGGAGAAGGTTCGAGAACTACGGACGCTGGCATCAACACTGGATTTGGTGGTGTCGGGGCGTGTTGGCATGGCTGGTGACATGCTGATGCAAAGGTTCAAGAGTTTGCTCATGGCCCTCAAGGACGGATCCAGTGCAGCGTCGAGGTACTTGGAGTTGGTGCCGATGGAACTGTACCCAACTGCTGCAACTCTTGAAGAAAGTGACTTTGCCCGTAGCCTTGCTGTGAAGAACGCCAAGAGTGAGGCTCTCCTGTCCCGTGTGAGGAGCACGGGCTAGGGACTCGGCGGGGGGGGGGTCAGCCGCGACCCCTCCTCAGCGCCACCCCCCTACTGGAACTCAGGCAAAGGAGACGGAGGATCAAGTGAGACGCCCGGCACTGAGGAGCCCAACCAAAACCAGGGACAGAAGCAGAAGCCCCTTGAAGAGGTCAGTCAAGTTCGAGACACCGCTGGAGAAGGAGATTCCTGCAGAGCCTGGGGGCACAAAGCCAGGTATGATGAGGATGGCAGATGCGAGACAGGCAGTTCCAAGGAAGGAGAACGAGACAAGGGCACAGTGGAAGAACAGGATTTTCAACTTCAAGAGGAGCGAAGAGGCGAAGCATGGAGTTGGAGGAAAAGGAGATCGGAGAGGAAAGAGGAGCTGAGGACCCCTGTGAAGGCAGGGGGAAGTGAGGCAGGGACTGAGCCGGGTCAAGCGCTGGTGTTGGCCAGTGACGAACTAATCCCTGGCCGAGACGTCCCTGTGAAGGCAGGGAAAAGTAGCTGTGTTGCTGGTGCCGAAGAGCCTAGCATTTTGCACGGCGAGTTTTTTCCGGCATCGTCTGCAAGGCCAGGCGATCCTGCTTCGAGCGTGCCACTGCCCAATTCCTTTTTCAGTAATGAGTTGAGGGAATTCGAAGTGAAATGTGATTTTTTAAAAGTTTTTCAGGTCCATCGTGTTGCCATGACCCCCTTCAGACTGGTTTGTCAGAAAGTGGCCAAGCTCGAGATCAGTGTTCTACAGTTAGGTGTGACGTTGCTGCAGCTCCTGCTTACTAGCCCACGAGATGGGAAATCACTCTGTTGTTGGATGGCTGATCAACTTTGTTCAGAGTCTTCACCACCACTTCGGGTTAGAGACTTGTTGCCGTTGCCTCTACCCCCCGTAGGAGCTGCACTCAGGTTGGTTCAAACCGGTATGACTTGCGATGGCGGTATTCTTGAGGTTGCAGACCCTTGCAGCCGGAGCCACAAAAAGAGGGGGCGACAACAACGAAAGCGCTTGGTTGAAGAAGGTATTAAACAAATCTGGAAATGCCTTTGCGTACTGGTTTTGAATGGAATGACAGATGGATGGACGTTTATTTCGAAATCAAAAGGTAGGGCCAGTGAACATCAGTTAGCAGCTTTGGAGGTGGTTACAAAATGGGTTGAAAGCTTTTGTGAAACACCGACTGAAGTTCTCCCCAAGCCCGACTTTCCAAATTTAGTCAAGAATCGTCAGCTGGATTACTCGGGTGGAGAAGTCACAACCGCCCTGCCTCTCAGGTTGGAGGAGCTCCTGCCGGGTCTTCCAGATGCGGGAGTTGCTGGCTCTCTTTGTGCAGTGCAGGCTGCATCGGGAGGGATAAGGGAATGGGTTCTTCAGCCTGAAATGACTTTGAAGCCCCGGGAGTTGTGGCCTTCTCAGATACCTAGGGCTCGTATCAATGCTACGAGGTTGGAGTGGTACCGCATCTGTGAGGTGTTGTTTCAGCGTGGGATCATAGAAACCATCCCCTATGACTCCATCTTCAAGGTGGGAGGCACCCCCGTGCTAAATGGGGCTTTTGCAGTGGAGAAGCGAGGGCGTGCTGGTGCTGGCCAGACACGTGTGACAAGGCTGATCATGAACTTTGTGCCCACTAATGCGTATCAGCGTCTTATGCGTGGGGACCTTGACACGCTGGCTAGCTCGACGGCTTGGTGCCAACTTGTGTTAAAAAAAGATGAGGTACTCTTGTGGTCAGGTGATGATCAGAAAGGCGCCTTTTACGCCTGGCAGCTCCCAGCAGCTTGGCGACCGTTTATGGCCTTCCGTTGGCCTGTCCCAGGCCATTATGTGGGATCTGGCCGCTCTATGGAATTTGTGGCCTCGCGGGTGATTCCGATGGGCTGGATACAAGCTGTCAGTTTGTTCCAGCACCTTCATCGCCAGTTGGGCATGGCCCCTGTTCCTCATGGTGCTGGCCATGAGGAGGAGCTGGAGTGGAGGCGTGACAGGCCAGCTCCCCAGCGGTCGGAGGGACAAACCACGGAGTTTGTTCAATTCTATTTGGACGACTTTGATTGCCCTGAGGTCTTGCCCAGTGTTGGCTGGGAAAAGTTGCAGGGAACCATGGGACCAACTCATGAAAAACAACGTGCGGCCTACGAGCGTTGGGGTGTTGGGATTGCAACAGACAAGGCCCATCTCAGGGAGCCCAAGGTTGTCAGGATGGGAGCTGAGATTGACGGAAAGCGTGGTACGGTGGCAGCACCGCGACAGAAGAAGTTGGAGGTTGCCTACTTTGCTTTGTGGGCACTAGGGCTCCACTGCCCCCCAGTCAAGGTGCTGTTGATGGTCTTAGGTAGGCTAGTGCGTTGCTTTGAGTTCCGTAGGCCCTTGATGACAATCCTTGCTACGATCTGGCCAAAGGGATCAGTGGATGTGCGAAGACCTTGGTCGAACAGCAGCATTGCAGAGCTTTTGCGTGCGGTGGCAGTGCTTCCCTTGGCAGGAACAGATCTTCGTGCTCAAGTTAGTAACATGGTTACGTGTTCGGATGCCTCGGAACTTGGGGGTGGCTTGTGCGCATCGGGAGCACTGACTGATGAAGGTGAAGGGGTGCTTGACTACCTTCAAAGTCCTTGGTACGTTAAGAAGCGCATGGGTAGCTTTCAACCTCAGGGGGCTCTCCCGGTCAATAACTGTCAGGGTCCAAGGGTCGTTGTTGTTTCCCTCTTCGATGGAATTTCTGCGCTCATGTGCGGTCTTTGCAGGTTGGAATGCCAGGTCATTGCTTTCTGTTCGTCGGAGGTGGATAAAGCTTGTAAGAGGTTTGTGAGGCAAAGATGGCCTAGGGTTATCGAACTTGGTGATGTGGACAAGATAACTGAAGAAGTTTTCACTACTCTGGCTGCCAGCGTTGGAGACGCAGTTGACCTTGTGCTTTGTGGTGGGGGAAGTCCCTGCCAAGATCTCTCTTCCCTGTTGGCGGACAGGGCAGGTCTGGCAGGGCATCGGAGCAAGTTGTTCTTTGTGATGCCCAGAGTGTTTCAGATGTTGGCGAAGGTCTTTCGATGCCCAGTACGGAGGTTTGTGGAGAACGTTTTTTCGATGACATCACAAAACCGAGATGAGTTCAGCAGGACACTGGGGTTTGAGCCTGTGTTAGTGGATTCCGTGCATTTCTCTCCCTGCCGCAGACCACGGTTGTTCTGGGTTGACTGGGAAGTGCAGCCTGCTGAAGGAGAAAGCTTGTTATCCCATCCAGGTTACAAAGAATGGATCGTCGAGATGGAGGAGATGAAGACCGACTGGTGGGTTGATGAGCGGTGCAAGAAATCTTCGCCAGGGCCACTTCCAACTTTTACGCGAGCCCTGCCGCGCAATAGCGCTCCCCGTGAACCTGCGGGGTATGCAACGGCCTCTTCGGATGCCATCGCTCGGTGGAGGAATGACAGACATCGCTTCCAGGTCTATCAGTATGAAGCAAAGCATATGTTGGAAAGACCAGATGGTTCGCTGCGGCTGCCTTCCCTTACTGAACGGGAAAAAGCCATGGGTTTCCCTGTGGGGTATGTCTCCACAGGGCTCAGCCCTAAGTTGACCTTGGATGAGGCGTTTAATCAGGGGGCCTGCATGATCGGCAACTCTTTCAGTGTCTATGCCATCACTTTGCTATTTGATGAACTGCTCCGGAGTGTGGAACCTAGCTATGCCCCCAGGTGCCTTGACCGCATTTTTGACAGGGATCAAGTGGCCCCGACAGGTTGGTGTTCTCACCCTAGGTTTGAACCTCAGAGTAAACCTGACTGTCGATCTGGTATGCTGGTTCAAGAGTTTCTGCGTCACGCGGATAGGAGCGGCACTGATGTAAAGCTGGATGTTGGTATTCCTTTTAGGACTAGGGCATGGCCTAGAGCAGGAATCCGCTCACGACTTTTCCACTGGAGAATCATTCATGGGTATCCTTGGAAATTTCAGGGACACATTAACCTCTTAGAGCTGCAAGCGGTAGTGAACTCCCTGCAATGGCGCCTACGTTCTCTCGCCCATTTTAGGCGGCGGGTTCTCCACCTGGTGGATAGCCAGGTTGTGGCATCGATAGTTACAAAGGGGAGGACCAGCAGTTTTCGCTTGCGCAAAGCCGTTGACAAACTAGCTGGCCTGTGTGTTGCAGGTGGCGTTCAGCTAGCAATCGGCTACGTGGCCACAGAGGAAAACCCTGCTGATATCCCTTCAAGATGGGCAAAAAGACCGCGCAACAAGTTGAAGCCCACCGGAAAGAACGAAAGAAACAAAGGAAAGGCCTCTCCCTCAATGAGAAAGTGCTAAGTCCATTACTTCATCAGCGCTATGAGCAGGCTGCTAAGAGGATCCTTTCCTTTTGGCGGGAATCACGCCAGCCCCCAACAACTTGGGAGGATTTTGACGTTGCAACGGGCCAGTGGTTAGAGCACATCTTCTCTGAGGGGTATCCCAAAGGTTACGGGTGTGATGGACTGGCGGCTTTGCAACATTTCCTACCTGAGCTTGCGGGAAAATTGCGGCATTCATGGCGTTTGTTGAAAAGTTGGCAGAAGATGGAACCGCCCATTCGAGTGCTACCCATTTCCCCACTGGTGGTGATGGCCATCAGTGGGGCTTGCGTGCAAATGGGAATGGTTGACAACGCTGCTGCTTTTCTTGTGGCTTTCGATACGATGCTGCGGCCAGGGGAGCTCTATCGCCTTACAAAGGGTGACATCACTTGGGCTGGGGGAAAAGCTGTCCTGCGGCTTCACCATACTAAGTCAGGCCAACGCCGCGGTGCTGACGAAATGGTGGTGTGTGGCAGCCATGTCGCTAATAAATGGCTGGCTATAGCGTTGTCCTCTAAGCGGCCCACTGACTCCCTTCTCCACCTTGCGAGAGCTCTTCTTTTCGTTGCTTGAATACCTGGCAGTTCAAGGGCATTTCTCCTTGTATTCCTTCCGTCGCGGAGGAGCCACGTGGCATTTTTTGAGTGAAGGCTCTATGGAGCGTACGCTCCTTCGAGGACGCTGGGTCTCATCATCCACAGCGCGTATTTACTTGCAAGATGCCGCAGCTGGCCTCAGTCATCTGTCCTTGACTCCTGAGCAAAAGCAGCACATGAAACATCTAGCACAGGTGCTATCGGCCAAGGGCCAGAATGGGGCCCGTGGAAGGTAGCTTTTTTCCCTTTCACTCTTTTGGTAATCACCTGACAGCTGGCCCCGCTCCTCAGTGTCGGCTGGGGTGTACCCTGGTGAAGGCCAGGGATGATATGTAAAAAGAAGCGACAGGCCTAGCTGCAGGTGATAGAGTACAGGTGATCCCCTGTTTTTGTGCATGTGGCGAAGCCACCTGAATGACAACTTCTGGTGGTGAAGGAGAAACAGTGCTGGCTGACATGTCCTTATGATCCTATCAGTTGGCATGTTAGCCTTTTTGTTTTGACAGAAACCTGCCGTGTACACCGTCAGTTTTGGGTTCCCAACCCATCCCTCCCGCGGATTAAGTTCCGGCGGGAGGATCCCGCCGAAGGTGGAAGGTCGTTTTTTTCCCTTTCACTCTTTTGGTAATCACCTGACAGCTGGCCCCGCTCCTCAGTGTCGGCTGGGGTGTACCCTGGTGAAGGCCAGGGATGATATGTAAAAAGAAGCGACAGGCCTAGCTGCAGGTGATAGAGTACAGGTGATCCCCTGTTTTTGTGCATGTGGCGAAGCCACCTGAATGACAACTTCTGGTGGTGAAGGAGAAACAGTGCTGGCTGACATATACATATATATTATTAATATTGTTATAATATATATATATACTTATAAAAGCAACGTCCTTTGCTCTGCCTCATCCCACCCATGTCAGGATAGATTGACCATTTCACCCTGCTGAAACGACATGAAATGACAGCGAGTGGGGGCTTCAGACTGTCACAGCTCCCAGCCATAGAAAGGAGGCGCCCACCATGCATGGCCTGTGAGGCTTGCGCTGCACGAGTGCGCCAAGATATGGCGTGGATGCACGTTGTTCGCAGCCATAATTGGTATCATCTTATCTCCAAGTTGCATCCAGCATCAATTTGCTGTTTAGGAATCCTTTTGATTTTGGCGTCTAGATCCAGGACTGAGTTCAATTTGGGCAAGGCCGCAGAGCCAAATTCCTCGGTTTTCCGCCTCTTGCTCACTTCTAACATCGTATCTTTCAGGTAGGTTTAAAGTGAATTTTATATGGATTGGATTTGTCAAAGGATATATAATATCTCTGTATCTTTTCTCACCATTTCGTGTTTCTCCACGATCTATCTTCTTCCATCTCCCTTCCACATCAAACCAAGGTGGCTAAATAGCTGCAGCTGCGGCCACACTTCACCAAGGAGACCTGAAGCTCGGAATCGAACTTACGAAGCCTAGTAGTTTTAGGAGTTGATTTGGGGATTCAGGCGATCTTCTGGCAACATTTCGCCTGAGTTTCTGTATCCTCTACTTGTGGGGTGGCTGCTGTTCTGTACTGTCGCATCTTCTGAGAGGACTTTCACCATGCTCCAGCTGAGCTGTTTCTGAGGCCCAGGAACGCGGCTGGTCAAGAGATGCAACCATCGAACCCATCATTTGTGGGCGGGAACTTTACCGTCACTTCAAGTTTAAATGCCCGAGTTTGCAAGAACACTAAGCCAGCTGTTCAGCTGTTCTCGTTATGTGCAGGAACCAAGTGGGAGTTGCTGACCATTCTCAAGTTGGTGACCATCCTCAAGGATCCCAAAAGGAGGACAGAGACGAGCCAAAAGCAGCGCAGTGGTCATATCAGGAACATTGAATAGTGCAATGCAAGGAATGCAGACCTAAACTGCTGAGCTGAGATGCTCAGTGGCAGTGCATGGGTTGACGCCAGGGGTTCTGATTCGTTACTGATGGCTCCCCAAGTGCACAATGTTTGCCGTGAATTGATCCAGCAGGAACTTGGCCCCAGAAATCTTCCCACCCGAGTTCCAGCTTTGCCTCATGTCGCAGTCCGGCTGCCTCTTCCGCATGTCACTCTGGTGGCTGCTTGCCACAAGTGCAAGCACTTATGAGCTGATGGAGACGACGTGTCAAATTGGGAAGAAGCAGATTCACAAGGCTCAAAATTGTGCAGAGAGGGTTGTGGACATGGCTGAGATGGGGGCATCATTTTCGGTGAAAGTGCGTGCTGACTCGCCGGATGTTTTGGCCGCAGTGTTAGCCTCAGCCTCAGAGATTGACGGCTATCACGTGTCAAAGACAGATCCGCTCATGTTGGCAGCACGAGAAGGCCATCACAAGTTTTCCGAGTCTCTGGCAAAGAGCATTGAGCAGGGCAGAATCCAAGGGTGGAAAGTTGGTGAAGGGATCGGCAGGGCAGTTGGCGCGCTTGCTGGTGGAGCAACTTTGGGGTCACTGGGCTTTGTTGCTGGAGGCACAGTGGGATTAGCTACTGGAGCGGCTGTGGGTGCTGCTGCAACCATGCCGGTTGCCGCCGTAGCTTGCGCTCTGCTTCCGTTTCTTTGTCCATACTTTGCTGCGGCTGCAGCTGTGGCAGCAAGTGCTGTTGCAGTGCAGGGAGCTGCCCTTGGAGCCGCGATTGGCACAAAAGTAGGAGTTCCACTGGGCATCCAAGTTGGGTCTGCGGTCGGCGGCTTGGCCGGAGGTGCCATTGGACAGGAGATTGGAGGAACGATTTCTGCGTTGGGAGGTCTCCACAATGGAGTTCTATTCCAACTCGCCCCAGGCCTGATGCTGGCAATTGACTATGCCGTCGGTTCTGATGGGGCAATGAAAGCACTCTCTTATGATGTGGTCTTTCAGAAGATTACAAATTGAGCTGGCACTGATGAGGTCGAAGATGTGACAGACCTGCTTGTCCACCATGACATGCGTGAGGAAGCTTCTGCCACTTCCAATGCCAATTTTGATTTTAACCATATGTTTAGTCAAGAATTGGCAGACACAGACAGAGCAAAAAGACCCTGCAGCGCTGGGTTTCCACTAGCAACCACATGCAGGACTAAGGATTTCACCCAAATCGTTTCTTTTTTTTTTGCGAAGCATCACATCGTAGTGGACGAGCTAAAGACAGTCAGAATATGTCAGAAGAACAACAGGATGCATCACAAAACATCATACAAAACGACCGGGATGGAACCAAACCAATCATGGGTTTTCCCCGCTAACCTGCGTGCATGAAAGGAGGAGGCCAGGTCTACAGCATCAAGCAGAGAGTATCAAGGCATATCAAGGCCTTGGGCTGCTGGTTTTGACAAGTTTCTCTAACACGACCCCTAAATGATGTCAGGGTCAAGAGGCTGCAACCCTTTGCCGTTGCGGTTTTATGTCGCTGCAGGTGGACTTGACTTAGTCGGATGCAGGGAGCCCCTCAGCCAACCTGGGCAGTTTGACACGATGGTACAGTGGCCCTCTGGTACTACAATCATTGATCTTTAGAGAATGGCATGAATATTGCTAATGTCTCAGGAGTATATTATGAATTCCAGTTGGGAAGATGGGTAAATATTTTTGAATGAAGACACACTGTATTGTGGCTGCAATGTCAATCAAATGAGGGAGATGCCAACATATTCCACCATTCCACCATTCCTAAAGACAATGATTCGATGATCCATCATGATCCATCGATCTTTGAGAAATCATCGACCTCCCTCTCCTGGCAGATCAAAAGAATGCTTTCTTGGGAAGATCCTTTGTGCAAGCCCAAAAAATGCGGTCCCCCGTGGTACACGAGGTTTGTACTTCCACCAAGGAAGCATGGCAATCTGCCAGTTCGCAGCCAAGTTAAGGGCAAGTCTTCGTGACCCCTCCACTCTACGGTGCATTGTGAGGGTGAAAAAGATGCTGGTACGGTGCAGCAGACAAGAAAGTGTACCAGAGAAGCATCAACAGCTTGTAAATCTCTGCATTTGCATGCATTTGCTGTTTTGTTGCATCTCTACTTTGATCGCAAAGATTTCAGGAAAAGTGTCAACAAAAGGGTTTACTTGTTCCCTTTGACAATGGATGAGCAGCTCGGTAAACCAGGACGAAGCTTTGAAGGTGTGCCGCAGCATCTTGAGCCTCCGGCAGATTCACAGCGGCTGACGAGACCTCACCACTTCCAGCATGATGTGTAACTGTGTAAAGATGGCCGAATTCATGACAGGAAACATCAGGAAACACTAGGGATACTTGGACCATCCGGCACCAGACAGTAGTACTAGCTTGCGCAAAGACTGCGCGATGCTGGACTCTCTCAACTCTTGCCTTCGTCGAAATTGGAGGACCACTTTTTCCCGTGGGCCTGTCAGCCTGTGTGGGGAATAGTTGGCCTTCCACAGTTTTTGTTGGGCTCGGTACTCTTCAGGGCGGACGCCTCGGAGATTGATGTGGATTGGCATTTGAGTCTCTACTTCCAAGAGTTTGAAAGTGTAGTCATGTTATGCGATATGGCTCCAGACTCGTTTTCCCTCAAAAAAAGGAGCCGTTAGTCACTAAGCCTTAGTGACATGAACGGCGAACGTCCAAATGCAGGATACACTGGACATCTCCAGCCTTTGGCATTGCCAATGGTGTGAACATGCAGAGGCTGGATGTTTGTACACAACGCATGAAAGCCATGTGTTCTGACACCTGTTGATATTTTGTTACGTCAACAGCACTAAGGAACTCAAAAATCTAAGAACCGTTCTGGCCTCAGAGATACTCAAAGAAAATCTGACCTTGGGCACCCTTGGGCTTTCTATTGGGCAATTCATGCCAGCCATGGCGGCTTCCCATGAAGCATCCGATTCTTCGCAGGTTGATGCACTCCACTGGGGGCTGCAGTGGTGGCTGCTGAGCTTGCGCAGAGGGAGGGCGCTGAGGAGGAGGCGTGACATTCCTGGTGGGTTCGCAGCAGTCAGAACCCCCAAGGATCGTGATTGAACCAGGAACCATGGAAGTAGTACCCTATCCGACAGTATTTATGTGAAGTTACGCGACAAATTTGGATGAGTCAAAAATTACTGCCCCATGTTTCTTATTCGGGAGGTTTGTCTTTTATTTGTCACTACTCGCCAGGGTCTCATTTTTCGGGCGTCTTCAGCTGGACGGCATGGTGCATGACGCTGTGGCTGGGGGCCCAGCTGCCGGACCCACCGGAAAAGTGATGTGTCTAAAAATGGGGAATATGTGGTATACCACCAATATCAAGAAATGGCAATCTGAATCACGGAAAAAGGTGATGAACAATGGGAGACATGCTAAGATCATCATTATTTGATACCGCCAGCAATCAATGATTCTCAGAATGACTATCATGCAAACTAGGGTCATACCAATCACAAGTGTGCGTGCTTGGCAACATCACTCTTCAGTGTGAGAGTGAAGGTGTTGTAGATTGTTCAAAATTGCAGTAGTTGATGCCCAAAAAGATACAAACAGCTGGCTTTGTCTCAAATCACCTGACACGACTGACATGCAAAAACATTCTTTGCCGACACCAGGATTTTGCTACCCAAGTAATTGGCAACTGCCAACAATTGCGTGTCATTTACGGCTATTGGATCCTGCCAGAGACGGTCATTTGATCCATGGCCATGATTTCTGGCTATTTCTGGACCCAGGCAGCGGCATTGAATGAATCTCGGAGTCGCTTGGCGGTGGAAAGGCTACCTGGTAGCTCATCATGGACAGATCAAATGATTTCAACTTCATGATCTTCATGTGTGCTGACAGAGTTATGTTCTGACTATGATGAGTTCTGCCGATTTAACAACCTTTGTGTATACCACAGTTGCCCTTGAAGCTTCCATTGATGCCCTTGCCTGCGTTTGCAGCTCATTTACACCACGTCGTGTGGAAGGTGACAGCCAGCCACATCAGCCTGCAATTTTACCTTTAAACCACCAACGGTCACCAACAGCAGCACTTGGGAAAATTGTTTCATTGACTTCAACCACGACAATGGCGCCATTGATGGAGGAAGAAGGAGGTGCCAGCGGTCAGAAATGAGATGGGCACTTGTAATAGCATGACCCATATGACCCTGACCTTGGAATTCTCCGATGCTGACATTGATTCTCCTCAACCTGTGACATTTGATGTGGTGACAACAGTTCTGAAAGCTCTGCTTTTCTGGGATATCTACATTCTACATAGGTTATCTCAGTCCAACAGCCTCCCAAATGTGTCTGAGACAAACGTCCTAGGGTGGGAAAGAGCAGACCATTGTCAACAGTTCTGTTGAAGTACGCTTTTGACTATGGCTGTATTATTTTGACTCAAAATCCATGTCGGTTGAACAGAAGTTGATGTGGAAAGGCTGCAGAAGTCCAACATTCTGGACTCGACAGCTGTCAATGCAGGTTGGCTGCCACTCTTTGGGCTGAAGATCAGTTTGACTTTTGCAGATGAGCTGCTGGTCTGCAAGTTGTTCACCAAGACATGGCATCTATGGCATATATCTCCAACTCCGAAAGCTGGCCAGAGAATGGGTTGGTAGGTAGTAGCGCTGGACTGGGGTGCAGCGGTATACCGAAAAAATGCCAAGGGAAGATGATCGAACTGCCCAACTGCTCCAGAGAGATCCATTTTACCATGCTGACAATGCTGAGGTTGGAGGTGCAAGAGGCAAGCTGTCCGATGGAATCCAATGATTTTCCCCAAAAAATCAAAAAGTGCAACAAGAATCTGTTCCATGAAATTGCCATAGCTGCCAGACCCATTTCTATCGGATTTTCCGATTTCTTGGAGGAAACAGACACAGAGTCTGTGGACCGCTGCTGTCGGGGTTTTGTTCAGCGGAAGGCCTTGAACATGCAGTTCAAGCTCTTCACTGGCGAGCACGACATTCAATCTTTCTTGTTTCTCAGACAGGATCCACCAGGATCCAACAGGTACACTCGGTACACTTCACTCCCCGGTGTAGCACACACTAGACCTCTGTTGGGAGATGAATTGCAGTGTAGCTTGGAGATGAATGCAGTGAAACCTGTTTCCATTGCCAGCCCAAATTCCCCAATTTACATAACAAATCATAACAAATCATAGCCTTATCTTTCGAAACATGGATTGTATAAACTACCGTTAAACTACCCCACACTATTGGGTTTATATATGGCACAACGGGTCTACCGCACCGAGGTTGCAAAAGCTGCTGGAGATGCTGGAGAAATCCATTGAGTGGTCTGGAGGATCCAAGGCAGCTGCCGTATCATGAGTGAAGCTCTGACACTTCTTGGTGTCCCAGTTATAAGTGGATAATAAGTGGATATATAACCAGAGTCACAGTGGTTATATCCCAAGTCATGTTGGTTAGAATTCCCATCATAGCATGGTCAGCCGACTCCCAGCAGAGCCGTGTCACAGGATGCAGAGCAACTCCACCAAAAGCTGAGAGGATTGCAAACATTGTCGAGGCTCACAGGGAGTGTCGGTCGATTTTCTATTTTGAGTAGGAGCCAGAGGATCCATGAACGTTTGAGATTTGGAGCACCCAATTGTGACCCACAACCAGATTTCGTCCATGAAACATCAGGTTGAGAATTCAAGATTCCGGTGAGGGTTCGTAGAGATAGAAATTGAGTTTTAGCATGGATGGTCGATCTTTGCGTTTGGCAAGAGATCATTAGGATGAACTAATTGTCCAGAGGTTCACGAGCATGCAACATTTCTTGGGGATCCGTGCCATGGAAGCCTTTCAAAACTCCGAGGCTAGTTTGTTTTTGTTGACTTACAGAGACATCCTATGATCGTTTGGATATAACTGTCCCACTGTAGACATTGGATATCATATATGATTAGTGATGATCTCATTGGATAATATCATCTCCAACAGATTTGTTTATCCAAATGATTATTCGGAGATACTTGTACCCACTTGTACCCACTATATCTAGCCATTATATCCGTTGGTCATTTGGTCAGCTGCTGGCGGCAGGACGGGTGTTGCAGATATTCAGCCAGCACCAAAGGCGTGTCTATTCCTGGGAACTGAAAACCCGGTGTGAAGGCCCAGGGGGCAAAGGACCATAGAAGTTTTGGCATCAACAGGTCAACAGGGTAGGAAAACTGGGAGATCATTGCAGAAACTAGAGTTTTGTACTATAATTGACTATAATTCTAGTCATTCTATTTGCATTGCTATCATCATTCTCTGTATTCCCCATCGGCCCCAAACGACCTGTCGACACTCAGGTTGGACGCGCGTCCTCTGATCCAGAGAGACGGAGCCTTAGGGCCTTTTTAGCCATGGCTTTCCACAGCATTCTGATGGGGGGTCTTTCATCTGGTCGCATCAGGTCAGCGAGCCAGGCGATGCCACATCGGGCACTGGGAGTACTGGGAGTACTGGGCCACATCTTGAGACCCTGACCAGGCAAGATGCCATGTGCTCTCCACCAAGTAGGCCACAAACTGGCAGGGACTGGCAGGGACTGGCAGGGACTGGCAGGGACTGGCATTGTGAATCTCTGAGCAGTAATGATTCGCTTGGAAATTCACGTAGAAATTTCCATGATATATGATGAGATTCCTCGTGTCTTGCAGCTGGCCCTTTGTATGCCTTGCATACCTTGCATGCAGAGGAGCAAGCCTTATGTGCCGTGTATTTTCGAAGTGAACCTGTGGTACATCCAATGCTACATTTGATACGAAGTGCGGGCTTCAGCATATGCAATTTGAGGTCTTGCAAGTCAGCAGAGGCTCTAATTCATGAACAGAGATTCTTGGATGCAGAGATTCCGGCTTTTGGCGATGTACTTTGTGAGGGTGGTTTGCTATTTTAGTAGGAAGTGTGCCTCTGTACTGATGTCACTTGGTTGGAAAGAGGTGAAGTGTACTGTCGAACATTGCGTGACACCAATGTCACTGTTTGCTCAGAAAATACACCCACCCCATCATGGCATCGTGAAATTGCGAGTCCCTGACCAAACAAGCAACTGGAAAGGTCTGACTGAGATCAGAGTCCAAGATAGTCCAAGCACAAATGGATGAACTCTTGGCCTCAATTTTCTTCCCGGGATCCCTTCGCTTGAGGCCAGTTGCAGCAGACCTCGGTGATGGGCCACTCATTTGAAAGATGGAAGTTATATAAGCTGCAACCACCCTTGGAGATGCAAGAAATCCACCCTGAACAAACGTCTATCTGACAGTCGAGGAACATTGTTTTTTTTGTGATTGATTACGCTCCTGGGGCAAGGATTTTCTCAGTCCTCCCTGCAACGTCTGCTTGTTTGCCAAGGCACCGATGAAAGAGAAGCAAGAAAGGTGTGGATCCTAAAGTCCTTTCTGGAAGATGGTGCAAGCATTGGATGGTCATAGTCTGACAAGCTGTTTTGCTCTTGGCTTTGTGTGGCCCTCCCAAAGTGGATGGTCAAGTCTGTTCCAAAAATCTCCAGCCATCGCTGGTCCAGCATCCAACCAAGGCAAGGGCTTGGCGCCAATCGAAGTTAGTCGCCAATTTCCGCAAGCTTTGGCATTCACAGCAGGCTACCAAGGAGCAGCGCTCCCAACAGGCCAAAAATGGTGGTGGAGCCGACTTGCGCATGTTGAGCTTATCATGGTCCTGAACAGTTGGGAAGAAATAATACTCATAATATATCAATGATATTTGATACATAATATATATATATATATATTATGTGTATACACGTAATTATACGTATATTATTTCCAGGATCCCTCTAGCAGTTATTTGATGGACCGCAGGACGTACGCCAGAACACTCATGATGTGCAGGCTTTGAGACTCGGCAAAGTGTTCCACTACACCGTGTTTGAAACAGCCATATGTGGGGGAAAGGGGTGGGTATCCACTATTCCTCCCAGTTGAGGAGGGATCGTCTAATTGTTCCGCAGGAACATCATCTGAAGCACGATTTGTTTCACGTAGGATTTCCTGGATGTGAAATGGTGGAACAACCACAATTACTGGACACCGAGTCTATGTGCTGTATTGAAATTATTGGCTTGGGCTTGTCTGCTTGAGGAGTGTGAAGGGATTGCAAAAAGACTTGTACAATGGCTCGAATCTCCAGTGTCGGACGTATTTCAATGCTGCGATTTTTGTTCCATTGGCAACCTATAAGTGCCACAAACACAGCCAGCTGTCCAAGGAAACCGAACCGGACAGGATCAAAGAAGAAGAAGCAGACCATGCCAACCATTGATGAGCCACTTGGCATAACATTTTTTGGAACGGAACTATTATAGTGAGACTGTCGAGATGCATGCACAAAACTTGGGTGATTCCATGTTTCTTGAGTTTAGGTGAGTCTCTTGTTTCTTCGGCTTTCATTTGAGTCACTTGCTTGATAGATGATGGATGATGATAGTGTGACCCCAGGAATCAGCAACTGAGTCAGCTTGAACCCACCGCACGACAGAAGGCAACCGGATGAACCACCGAGCACCACGGATGACAGCGATGGTGGTGCGGAATCTGAAGGTGAGCAGCGAGTGTGACTCTGATGGACCAAAAGGAAACAGCAGAACCAACAACCAACTGGCAGTTGATAGATGGTTTATCCGACTATCCCATTATTCACCCCGCTTCGCGTGGGGTGGCCGCCCACACCGCAGGTTTATTTCGGTCCGTGAGAGGGGCTAAGAATTTTCACTTTCCCCCCCCGTGGGGGCTCCCCAAGCTAGGGAATTTTCACTTTTCCCCCCCGTGGGGGCTTCCCAAGCTAGGGAATTTTCACTTTTCCCCCCCGTGGGGGCTTCCCAAGCTAGGGAATTTTCACTTTTCCCCGCCGTGACAGCTTCCCAAGCTATGGAATTTTCACTTTTCCCTCCCTTGGAGGCTCTCCAAGCTGCGGAATTTCAAATAGCTAGACAACGACGCCTAGATAGTCCCCCAAATCCCGTGTTCTTTGAATGTGTTTCCATGTTTTTGCAATGGTTTCCTTCAAAGCACGGTACTTTACACTTTTGTCGCCATAAAACCGGTCGAAAACATCATGTTCGACAATGCTTCCAATTCCCTTATCTCCCCAACCGTTGAAAATACCGCTATTTACAGTGTTTTCTTCAATTTTTCCATGTTCCAATGCCGGTAGCCAACTCCAACATATATATAATAAATCCTTCCAAAACATTGTTTTTGACAGTGTTTTTCCAATGTTTCCAGTCAAACAGACGGTAATTTACACGTTTTTTGCCATAAAGGCAGTAAATCCTTCCGGAACATTGCTTTTGACAGTGTTTTTGTAATGTTTCCAGTTAAGCATACGGTAATTTACACGTTTTTTGCTATAACGTCAGTCCAAAGCACTTGTTTTTGCAGTGTTTTCAATGCTCTGGCATCCAAAAACCCTGCAAAATCTTGCTATGTACAATGTGTTTTTTTCATTTTTGGCCGTTTTTCCATTGCCGGAAAGCTACCAAAATGACCCAAAATTCCATTTCAATACCCTCTTGCGCTCAGACACCCAAAAATCCTCGAAAAATGTCGAAAACACCACCGTATTCTGGTCTCGGTGCGAAACCGTTTTTGGCCCCCCCCCCCAGCTAAAGCTGCTATAGCGACTGCTATATTAACAAATGTCATTGAGCATTTAGTGTTGCTGTTTCCCCCCAATAAGCACGCCTTCACCGCCAAAGCGGTGTGGGCGGATTTATAGGGTTTCGACCATCCAAGGTGGTGCAGGGTTTCTTCCCTCCACAGTAGCACCCCTTGCATCGCCATTGCTCATGTCCATCCAGCAGGGATTCAACAGATTCGACAGTCGACGTACTCCGAAAGTGCCCGTCTCACGGCATATGTGCCATGGTCAAGTTGGATTGAATTAAGCCATATTGGGGACGGTCATAAATCATCGTAAATCCATTTTCATAGGGATTTATCTATATATATACTGGATTAACATATATATATAATATATAATATAATATATATATATATATATAATATCTATATACATACATTATATATACACATACATTTGCCCGTTCTGGTTGGATTCCCATTGTGGGATGGATGACAAGAAACGATTTACCATCCTTCGATCTTGGCACATATGTTGTTTCAATATGTTTTGATCCCCATGGTGAGCTGGGCCCTGGTACAGGTAGCAGCAATGACTTTGGTGCCATGGACTTTGCAGAGGCCGGATGTGATTGCGGCCGCACCCAGTGCACTGACTGCGCACTCAGCGCAGTCAGTACACAAAGCAATCTGCAGTCACAGATTACCGCTGCACTGCAGAATCTTGCGAGTAGTCATAATGAATTGGCTTGAATATCCTGAAAATCGTTGCTAAGTGGTTCCTGAATTCTGAGCAGGGGATGGAAGTGGTTTGACTTGGTCCTGCAGCCCCAAGAAGGTTACCATTGAGACATGGTTCAAAGTGTTGTGGTCCCTGGCCAAGAATAAATGATGACTTGAATGAACATGTCAACATCTGTCCTTAGCAGACTTTCGTGCAATGACACGCCCGTACTAGAGAGAAATGACACACTTCTATTATCTTATATCTGATTCTAATCACCCAAAGACTCCGCGAAACCACTTTATCACCATAATGATCACCATAATTGACTATAATTGACCACTTTATCATCATAATGATCACCATAACTTATGGGAGTTGATTGGGATTGACCATGGACCGTGACCCATTCGTAAGCCTCGAATTCGTTTGTAGGATGGGCTCAGCCCTGAGGTGCCTGACGACCTTCCTGCTGTGGCGCCTCCAGTGGCAGGTGTCGTGAAATCAACACCTACACAACGACAAGGCTTGGGTGTGGGAGCCCAGTGGGAAAAGCTGAATCCGACTACTTTAGATTGATCTTAAGAAACATGTTGACATGGCATGTTGACCATTTGGGTGATCGAACATGGATATCCCAATATGGAATGATTTCATTATGAAAGTGACGGGTGTTTTTTGCCCAGCGGTTCCCGCTTCAATTTTCATCCATTCCGCTTGTATGCAAAACTCTGCCACTCGCAGCCGAAACCAGGTTTGCGCTGAGGATCGCCTTCAGGGTGCTCAGTCGCTTGTTTATCCCCCTTTACAACAATCCTCGCGTGTTGCCCAAGGCAGCTGCTTTTTTTGTCAGATGATCAGATGTTTGGTCAGAGATATCTCCGGGGTCAACGTTGACCTGAACCCGTTGGAAAAGATGCTATCTGAGAGCTCTGCCAATGCCTGCGCTGCCCCAAAGAGGTGGTCGCAGCATGTCGCAGCCTCTCTTGTTTGATGCCTTTCAAACGAGGTTCCAAGGAAACGACTTTTGACCATCGAAAATCTCACAACCCTGCAGTTTTCACCAACAAACATTTTATAGTCCTGAAGAGAGTCAGAATTCTGAAGGCCCGTGTTCCCTTGATTTCCCTTGTATGTTCAATGTTGACTCCGAGGGTGGCCAAATTTTGCTCTGATCCCGACCCCAGCGCTCAGCTGCACAAAGTCATTGTCCCAGTTCGAGAGAGTCAAACTGGGCACTTCCCAAACCCATGCATTTACAAAAGCACCATTACCAGTGGTCTCATCAAACGGACCATCCAGTCAGTACAAAGGATATCAAAGTATCACGAAAGCTAGCTTCTGCCAATCGCATGAGACTTCATAGTTATACCCCCCCGGCTGGCTGGTTCAAAAGCAGTTTGGCCGTGGCTCAATCCCCCCCTGGACACCATCGGTATGTCGCCACTGGCAGCACATTCGGCAGCATCCCCATCCTCAGCATCATTGTGTTTTCATGCGAAGTTTCCTGCCAAGCTAGCTTTCGTCCCTTACCCCTGGGCCTTTTTCGTTTGATATCATTTGCGCCTTTTTCGTTCTGGGACAGATCGACAGGTGGCTTCAGCATTGGTGACACAACATACTTTCAAGGCCTTTGCCAGGTTATGGGTACACATGGCGGTGCCTTGTCAAGCCTGTTTGAAGATTGGTGCATGGTGTCCCGCAACTCCTTGCATTGCCACATCGGACAGATACATGTCATACGGACATCATCGGACAGATATTGATTACTCAAAGTGGTGGTTAAACTCATAGCCGGGTAGCCTGAAAAAAGATGCCTGGAAATGACCCAACAAGAGGAGCCCCATTTGCCCAACACACGGTTCCAACCCAAGATACAGGACTGTACTCACGGCAGAGATATAACTATTGGCGAGACAATAAAAAAAAACATATATCAACGTATAATTACTGGCCCAAACTGAGGGAAGCAGTGGTCAAAACACTCCATCATGGTTGGGCATCATGTTGTTTTTTTTAAATATATTGGTACAATCCCATCACCCCAGTATTTCATATGCCCCCTTCCAAACTAAGTTTTTTTTTGGGGGGAGGGCTAAGGATATCTGAGGATGCATCACCTTGGTCCCACAGCATTGGTTTGTTTTTTTCGGCATGAAATGCTGCCTGATTAGAAAGGATCATTGCACAACATACCCATCACAGGAATTTTGTGACCCCCAAAACCAACTAGAAGATGTGACAGAAGGCTGAAAGAGCACTGCCTTGCATCGATCGAAAACAGGCTGAATTCACGCTCCGGCACTGGATGGCACCGCAGAGTCGGTGCCCACTTTGGTGTAGCTAGGTCCGCTTTTTTTGGCGTCCAAAAAACTGTCAAATCAGATAAAACCGCATTTTTCCCGGGAAGACGAGAACCCAATGCGGCCTGGCGGCTTTTGTATAAGCACAGATATGTTATCAATGACATACCAGAATCAGCACAAAGAATGAACCCGTTTGTTTTACCCACAATAATTTTTATGTTGTAGATTGTCTCCGGCGGTTGCTCTGATCCTATAGGCGGTAGCCTGGGAAACTGCATGATGCAGTACAAGTTATGAAGGGGCAATAGGTTGGTTCCGAAACACTCAGCCAGTTAGGCAAGTCGGACGGCAGTAAAACGGGGGTAGTTTGTAACTTGAGGCCCACGGTTTGACGTCCCCAACCGATGCGGTTCCTTTTTGGACCACTTGTGTAGTCGTGCGGAAGTGTTGAAGGCAATGATACCACCCCGTAAGGGTCGGTGCATCATCAGCTTGACATGCCCTTGGCGAACCAACAGACATGGCAGCTTTGGAAGAATCTTTTGCAACATGTTTGCGGTTTCTTTGACACATTTAACATGTCTTAAGTCTTAACCGATGGCGTGGAGTGGTACAGTAGTCTTTGACCTTGCCCGAATCCAAAGACAGACTTCGATTTGGGAAAATGCGCTCAGTCGGCAGCAACGAGTTCTGTTTTGAGAAGGTCCAATTGCCTCATCGACAAAACCCAGCCTGACTGCAAATAGCGAGGAATTCGGGTCCCAGTGATATACAGTGATCCTCAGATCGATGGAATTCACACTGGAAGATACATTTGGAGCAGAGAGTTGGCATCGAACCCCCAGTTTTCTCAATTTTTCAGTTTTTTGGAAGAATCGATCAACGTTTTGAAGCTCCGAACCCAAGGATCTCGTTCCGGGATCAGTTACCACCTGGGATTGCGGGAGATCAACCCTTCAGGCCATGGAGAGGGCCGAGGGATGCCGGGAACATCATGGGGAGCTGTAGTGTTAGTAAAGCAATAATGAACTGCCTGTATCTTGATGGTTTATACTAACCACATCTAACCACTGGTAAATTTGGGGATGGTTTACTATTGCTTTACTAACATTAGATCCTATGGAACATGTTGGACATATTATTTTTTTCAACAGGATTGCTGCAAAACCATCGAGGGGAGTCCATCTTCTACGACATTACTTGAAATTTAACGGCTTGGCCTGCTCTGGCATCGAAGCTGCAATGACAGCCATGATTTTTTAGGTGTGGCCCTGGGTTGTCCAACGATTGAATCCATGGGGTCCATTGAACCATTTCTTGCCCAGGTACCATTTGCCGCAGCCCCTGTATTTTGCCCTGGCATCTGCATCCTATGGGCTTTTCATGGTACCTTGGTTTGGAACTGTAGCAGTGGGGGCTAACGGTGCGAATTCAGGAGTGGCTAGACATCGCTAGACTGACATCTCTTTGTATCCCGCAAGGCCGATGGGAGAAAATTGTGCTGGAAACAAGCATGGCAGGCCAATGGACAAATCCCTTGATTCTATATATGATTTTCATTGATTTTCCAATCCTCAATGCTGTGCATGTTTCCATTGCAAAGCATGTTCTTTTTCCCACAGAGTCCTTGGTTAAACAAGGAGAACGCTTGGGAGATCACCGAGGTTTGTCTCTTCACCACTCTGATGCTCTTGGAGTTGCAGGGAAGTCGCCGCAGTGTGGACATCAGCTGGTTGATCTCCAAAGAGAGCTGATTCACTTGCAGCTGAACAGCCATTTTTTAGAGGATGGTTTCAGTCTCAACCATCTGATTTGTTTTTGGCCGATAATGAAAATTTGAGCCAATGAGCTCAGCTTCGGACTTTCACTTCCGCACATGGCACATGGTAACTTTAAGTTCCACTAGGACAGCTCTGTGAAAGATAGCTGCTAGTCTTTGGTCTTGAGTTGCCTTGCGATATCAAGGCTTTCACTGCAAGGATAAGCCATTTTGGCAGAGTCTCAGGGTTTTTGAAGGTCAAGAAACACCCGACTTTGTGGAAGTTTTTGCCATCTTCCCAGGGTGTGTCGGTCTACATGAGTCGGACGCTGCCGTGCAGCATGGTCTTTCTCTTTGGCACTGGATGGTATGTCTCTTGGCGAGGTGAACGCACACCCAGTCGGCAGTCCTTGTGGGGGGATGGGATGACTGCTCCGGATGATCTTATTTACATTTGGATCTTTTGGATCTTTTGGATGATTCGGAGGTTCGCAGGATTCGGAAACTGATCTAAAAGCTGAAAAATACTCAAGATACTCAATGATAGTTGAGGATAATACACTAAATGGTGATCTTTATCTAATACGCTACAGGATAAAACACTTGAAAAACTCATCAATTTTCAATGACCTTAAGCATCCTTAAGCCTGGAAAAACAATGATACACACAGTAAATATTCCAATGATTGTTTTTCAAGCTGAACATTGATTAAGAAGTTCAAGTTTCAATGACATTAAGCCAAGCACTCAATATTGACCTTCACTCAAATGGTACAGTGACACCGGTTAATAAGAACCGATTGGTACAATTGGATATTTATCATTCAGGATACTATGCGGTTCTTGACGGGTTCTTACAACTTACAACAGGGGTGCTTGAAGCATTTCTGAGTGGCATGCTGTTTCTGAAGGAAAGACCAAGACTGTGGATTGTTGATGGCCAATGATAGTGGTTTTTTCAGGGATTTCAGCACCTTCAAGTTCTATAGTGGGCATACTGTAGACCGCCCTCGGTTGAAGATCAAGGATCGTCTTTTCTCTTTGCCCGGTTTTCTTCCTTCTGGGCCCCAGCGCAGTTTCCAGAGAATCACTAGCCAATCAATGCCTTCTAAACATCAGCTCGCCTAGCTCAGACACGGTAGAGCGTAACGCTCTTAACCTTGTGGTCAAATAGGTTCAGGCCCCGCTGTGGGTGTGCTTGCTTCAGGGCAATACAGGCGACTCTCAAGTTCTTGTCTATAATTTACCAGTAGTACCGCACAAGGCGGTGGTGGAAGTTTCAAAAATAGGAAACCTATAGGAGAGATTGGTTGTTGTGAATCAGGGATGGCAGAGCGAAGCCACTGATGGACTGAAAGGTGCTTGATCTCTCTCTCTCTCTCTTTTCTCTTTCTCTCTTTTTCATTCTGTTTCTCTATCTTTCTCTGATTATCTACCTACCTACCTACTGATCTGTCTGTCTACCTATCTATCTGTCTGTCTGTCTCTCTATCTATCCCCCTGTCTATCTATCTATCTATCTACCTATCTATCTATCGATCGATCTATCTATCTATCTGTCTATCTGTCTATCTGTCTATCTGTCTATCTGTCTATCTGTCTATCTGTCTATCTGTCTATCTGTCTGTCTGTCTATCTATCTATCGATCGATCGATCGATCGATCTATCTATCTATCTATCTCTATCTATCTATCTATCT